TTCATGGTCTAAAGCATGCCGGTTTCCTCACGATGTTTTTCTTTACCGTTCGAGCGAATGTTAGATGCGGACATAGACAGAAAGTCCATTGGTACACAGCCGGGGATCGAACCTACGACCTCAGGAATGAGAGTCGCACGCTGAACTAATAAACACAAAAACTACTGGACCATTTTCATAAATTCCTTAAAATAGGCAGCCTCTAAATGTATCTGTAGATTTGTGGCTATTGCGCAGAAAATATGTTCCTATAGTAAAAAGGACGGCTAAATAGACACGAGTCCTATAACATATCAATCCTGGGTTTGATTCCCATTGAATTATTGTTTTATGCTTAAATATTATTCATGAAATATGAAAAAATCTTATCTCATGTGTCAATTGAAAACCCCGGACTTGGCAACCTGGAATCTAAATGGCTATAATTCCATTCCAGAACAACTTACTTATACCAGTGAGTACAGTGAAGTTTTCGGACCAATCAATCTTGGCACTGCGGGCAATGAAGGAAGGACCCAGAAAGGTTTTGTTGGTAGCTGCTCGCTCTGAGAATGTGACAATCAAAGATGCTCAAACTGGTCTCCTACTCCGGACACTCAATGGGCCTAAAATGACAGTGTATACCCTGTTGTATGAAGATGGGAAGGTGTATTGTGGAACCAGCAGCCATCAGATACAAGTGTTTGATTATACAGTGAGTAATTGATTGACCTAGTCTATATGAAGCTGAAAATATATTAAGATTTTTTTTTGAAGTTATACTTCTTTAGGCGCGTTATGAAAAATTGTTGAGAGTGAAATTTTACAATGCGCGCGCACCGTGACACAAAATTAACAGAATGAAGTTGCCCACGGAAGATGCTACGGCATTGGACATAATTTAAAAAAAAATCGAATAATAATAGAATTTATGTTACACTTAATGTAAGAGAATAATAATAAATATTTATTTATTTAATTTTTCAAATGTAAACTGAACTTTATTGACTATAATGACTTCTTTTCCAGTCTAATAATGCCAAAGAAGTATAACTTCTTACGCGCGTACTTAAGTACACGCACCCTTTTTTTTCTTATAAGCAATAATTGGCAAGAAATCTAAATTAGAGAACAGTTGTTTCATTCCCGAGTCATGGCATCAGGGTTCTAAGGTTCAAACACCAGCAGTACACCAATGGACTATGCGTCATTAACTATAGCTTGTACGGAATTACTTAGTGAGGAAACTGCCATCTTTTGGTAGACCCAAAAAGTAAATAATTTAAATAAAAAAAGCAAAGTTTTCAGTTTTATCATTATGGCTTTAGTACTTTTTAATTTGGGAATTTATTTAGGGGTTGTACGATTCCTGGGTCATCGGGGTGCTTTAAATAATAGAGGATTTTTTTTATTAACCACTCACGTACAACAATAGAATATAAGCGAAATGATGAAATGTTAATTGCTATGTAACGAATGAATGCAATATAATATGAAGAGAGTGCCTGCGTCTGGCATTTCTGGTGTATTAGCCTGAAGAAAGCCTGAATGAGCAAAATGTACAGCCTTGGCTTACCTTACCTTACCTGAATCATCTCGAAAAGGTCTAAGAAAGTACGACCCATTCGTCAGCGACGTGATGCTCAAGTTTTCCATCTCTTAATTCCATCCTGTTCAATCCTAAAATTCCTTCCTATCTCAAAAAGATTTCAAATTTTTGGGAGCCCATAGCTTAAGCTTACGCTTTTCCGAAAACTATATACTTGTAATCCCATCTCATAACTCTTCCTTTCTTGGCGAAACCTTTAAGGTCTCTGCAGTGAGGCTATGGAATTCACTTCCCGTCCCTTTTCGCTTCTTCTCTAACTTTCTTTAAATCTCTACTGTTCATACATTACCTGTCCACATCGTATCCCTAACATTCGTACTAACTGATGTGAAACTGATCTAAAACTATCGTGATTCGTGTGCACTTTTTCTTTTTCATGTGTTCTTTTTTGTTCCTGTTTTAGTTTTGTCTAAATAACTATAAGTATTTTTGTATTTCTTGCTTACCTTATCTAGCTGGAAGAGATCGCTCGAAAGCGATAAGGCCGCCAGAGTCCCTACTTTTCATTCAATTATGTCAATTGTATTATATTTCTGCAACGAAGTGTTAATAAATATATATATTTCCTAGAGTGGCTCCCATGTCGGAACCCACGAAGGCGGTAAAGGCGCAGTGTGTTTACGGGCGGTGGGAGGACTTTTGTTCGCGGGCTGCTACGACGGATGTATTTATGTATATAGGGAGGGTGAACCCAGGCCTTTCGCACAATTACGCGGGCCCAGCCTTATGTTATTATGCCTGACTATTGTCGGTACCAAGGTAAGATTTTTGAAGTTATACTTCTTTAGGCGCGTTATGCAAAATTGATGAGAGTGAGATTTTAGACGCACCCTTTTTTTAAACATATTAACACAAATTTCTGTCAAAGATATAAAATTAGTAGACAAAACCCATAGACTACATTAGTTTAGTAAAATCACACATCACATCAGACAAAATCACTTTTCGACAGGTGTGACCCACTACCGCGAAATGAATTTGTATGAGAATGACATTAGCTCACGATTTGTCACGTGACTACTTCCACCATGTGACTGGAATAGGCTTCCGGAAAGTGTAATCAGTGCACCATCTTTGAACTTCTTTAAAAATAGATTGGATAGTTTCTCCAAATCTCAAAATACGTCATCAGCTTATTAAGCTGCTAGTGTGTTTATATACTGTATACATAATAAATTGTAATAATAATAATACAAATCCTTTGGCGTTCTTAATACAGGTCACATTTGCTCGAATTTCATTTAATATCGGCAAGCTTACCACATAACTACTATGTTGGTCTTCATTGATCAGTATCATTAAATCTAGATTTTTGGGGGCCTCATAGCCTAGCGGTCTTATTAAGTGGCAGCTAGGTGAGGGGTACCGGGTTCGATTCCCGGTTCGAGGGCAAGTTTTAATTTAATTTAAATTTGTTCTCGGCCTTTGGGAGGGCTGTGCGGTACCGGGCGAGTGCCTAAACCGTACATGGAGGACATGATCGAATTTCTAAGACAAAAAGCACGAATGATAAAAATCTCATACTTGACGCTGGGTAATGCACAAACCGTGCCAGAGTCTTAAAAAAAACTAAAAAAAACTAGATTTCTGCTTTGTTTCAGATTATCGCTGGTTTCAAAGACCGGAGTCTGTATATATGGAAGATACCATTAAGTATATTGCAAGAGATGATATTGTAAAACCTATAATTAATTTGTAGGCTCATAGTTGACCTTTATTCTTGATTCATTTACCTCGTTTGTACATAAAAAAAAGATTTAACATGATTAAGGTTGTTTTATTTATCAATCATTTGTATACGTGGACGCACAACGGAGCAAATGGGTGTCTCAGTGCGGAAACTGAATCCACACTACTTGATATATGTGGTTGAAATAATTAAACTTAGTTTTATACAGAAATTACCCCGTATGAATGAGAAAATCTTGTTTGACATGTATCAAATAAATTGTTAAATTTTAGAATAAGCTGAGAACTTATTTTGTGCTCAGGGGCTTCAGATAGAATAGCTTTTCGACCCCGCTACTGCTAAACGAATTTGTATGAAAATTTTCTAGTGACAAAGAGGAAGCTAATGTCATGCTTTTTTATGTTCAATATGGAAGCAATCATACAGGTGACATAGGGGGCTCATCTTATGTTAAGTAATACCGCCGCCCATAGACCTTCTCAATGCCAGAGGGCTCGCGATTGCGTTGCCGGCCTTTTAAGAATTGGTACGCTATTTTCTTGAAGGACCCTTCGACGTATTCGTTCGTAAATACTTCGACGGTCAGCTGCTTCTTCATAGAGAGAGATGGTGCACGGTGAAAAAAATATTAAATATGCTAAGTTTTGAGGTGTGCTGTTCACTAGAACACATGGATGTGGGGTTCGAATTTGCGCTTTATACAGTTGCAAATAATGGTGTGTCGAGCCGTCGTCGCCTTGACGAGCACACCAAGCTTCTTGGAGGCTAAAGGCTAAGGCTTTCCTTCCAATTGAAAGCGAAACTGAACGTAGTTTCGACCTCAAACACCAGATTGTACCGGTACTGATCGACTACTGCCCGACTATAATATAGTATTTGACTCATAGACTTTAATTTCTTTATAAAAGTTAAGTTACCTTTTCGCAACGTGAAACCAAAGCAAATATACCAAATAATGTATCTTATAAGAATAAAAATGTATAAGAATATAATAAAGCATGCCCTCTCACAACATTGCTGTGGCTAAGAAAGGTCCTTATTGTGATAAATTATAATGTATCACGTAAAATATGAACATTAGGAATGCAATAAAGATTTCATTTGAGACTAATTACCAGTGTAGTGTAGAGGATCCCCAGTGCTACCATTGACATAGCAATGAATTTTGCTAAGACACAATATGTTATTGATATGCAAGGGAAAAATGGTCGGTGATAGGACACATTCGGTCGGTAAAAAACAAATTCCTTAGGATAGCTTTGGCGAATTTCTTGCTAAATCGTCACAATCTGTTTCTCTCAAGCCCTTTTCTTTTATCTACAGAAAGGAACACTCATTACGTTTTTATATTAAAGTTATTATTGAACTTCGTTTTTGGCAAAAAAAAAATAACATTTCTAGTATTTTTTTTTTCAAAAATCAATTTTTTTATTTCAGTAGTACACCGTTTTGAAATTTTATTCTGAATATATTATATTGATTGACATAAACACGTTTCTGAACGAAACATAATTTTTGCCAAGTGGCAGTCCATCTGTCATTTGTGTATTTATGACTTACGTCAGTGTGGGTGTTTCACGGCAGCCATTATTTCTAATATCTACGTAAAAAATTACTTTAGTTTTGTATTTTACGCTGCACATTTTCGAAACAAAGGAATTCGTTATTTTTGATAAATTGTACTACTTCATCAAAGTGTTCGAAATAAAATTATAGTACAAAATGAATCCAGAATAGTAAGTATTGGTGTCACGATATAGTGTGAAACAAGGATGGGCTAAAATTTTATTCAAAAGTTAATAAATTTTACCTATACTACAATTATTGCTATAGTGCTATTTTTTTAATGACCACTAAATGATCGTTTGTACATATTAATTTCTTTGTCTAAATGTAATGAGTAGATGTTTTGGTGACTCATAAGGTGTACCAAAGAAATCGAAACGTAATCGTTAACAATGTGAATGGCTTTTAAATAAACTTTAAATTGAATATATTTGAAACTTCCGCATTATATCTTTCATTTGATATCTCATATTACAATGTTTGTATTATAAAAATGTGATTCTTTGTCCGTGTTCTTAATACGCCTCCTTTATTGCATGTGTTATTTTTACACGTACCTAACTAATGTACGCAATACGTATGCTTTAAGAATGTCATGTTTTGGTTTTCAGCGACTACTTGTTCAAGCTTTTGTTGATCGGCGATTCCGGTGTGGGAAAATCGTGTCTTTTGTTGAGATTTGCAGATGACACATACACAGAGAGCTACATAAGTACTATTGGTGTAGACTTTAAGATAAGGACTGTAGAATTAGATGGCAAGACAATAAAATTACAAATATGGGATACAGCAGGACAGGAGCGGTTTAGAACAATCACATCATCATACTACAGAGGAGCCCATGGAATCATCATTGTTTACGATTGTACAGACCAGGTAATTAATAAAAAAATATTTTTTTTATAGGATTATATTATATGGTTTTGTAATGTCCAGCAATGAACCAGGATACACCCTTTTCCTAAAGTACTGAATGTTAACTTAAATAATACTGTTAAATAACATTGGATAAACCATCCTAAAATGTAATGAGACAATTCACTTGAACAAACAGTTGATTTTGGATATAACAATGATGAAGGGACAATTTTAGTTTCGTCTTTATATCCAGGCGTTGTTACAGGATAAGTTAAAGAGATACAGACACATATTCTGAGTAGAAATGGTTGCTAGTCAGAACATCACTTTGTAACTGAGCCTGAATAAATTTTACTCTGAAATGTACATGCTTAGCTAATATATATTACATTAAATAACAAAAGGTAAAAGTTTCCACATTTGCTGACCATCTATGTGATTGTAAACAAAAAACGAAAGCTTTTTGTGTCTTTGACAGCAGATGCAATATCTGCATGGGATTTATAGGAACTTGTTACGAAAGATTTATTATACCTAAAGTTGTTAAAACTTTAATACTTAAGTATGTTTTTAATTCAAGGGACTTAGATATAATGTCACTTCACACAATCTTTGGTTGCTACAACCAAGGTTGTAATAAATGAAATCAACTGTACTATTAATTCGCTCAAAAGTTTATTATTGGTTGCTTTTGTATATTAAAGTCAACATTCTTAATTAATTGATGATAATTTCGCCTTAATGTTAATTATCATTAATTATTCATGAAACATTAATATTGGATGTTCGTGATTAATTAAATATTACTTTATTTGTTGTGATCATTATTTCGCATAAAACTTCCTAACATGGGGTTGTCAATCATATATTTGAACTTCTTTTATGTTAAATCTTTTAAATGTATTAAAAGAAGATCAATGCTGTAAACAGTAATAAGAACAAAAATAAATTTGTTTATAATTAATCTATGACATCATCATCTCTATTTAATTGTTTAGCCACCAAAATTATATTCATAAATCGTCTGCTAATTAACATTAATTAAAGTTAGGTAGTTACAATTGTATTATAATTTTTTATGAAATTGCCCATGCATTTATCTTTGTTTGCTAACTTTAGAAAACAATAACATACCCATTTTAATTAACCAGTCTAACATAACATGATACAAGCTTTTGTGTGCCTGACTTTATTCAAATACATCTTTGTTTATATTTTAAAGTTACAGAATTTATTAATCAATCTATCACAGCAGTATTTGTTAAGTATTAATCTTAAAAATATTAATGTGTTTATATTTTGAAAGGACTCATTTAGCAATGTGAAGCAGTGGTTGGAGGAAATTGACCGCTATGCATGTGATAATGTCAATAAGCTGCTGGTCGGCAACAAGTGTGATCTCACTACAAAGAAAGCTGTCGATTATACTACAGCCAATGTAAGTTACAAGCCAGTTACTATTCCTGTACCCGTAGCTCTATATATTATATTATCTATATATTAATTTCTGTATCAATGTACTTGATACAAGTCCATCTTGGGGAATGAGTGCTAAGTTCGACTTCCATATATCAAATGCCATTTGTTTATGACATCTGGGAGTTATACTCATAGCTAAGTTTCAACTGTGAATATTACCTTTGGGGCCAATAGTTACTTACACAAGAGATATTTTTTACATTTGTGTTGAATATTTTATGGAACTCATAGAAGAACTTTGCTATAATTATCAAATGAAGAAATTATGTCCAGAGAATGATAGGTAGTTATTTAAAATTAAATATATACTTAAAGCAACAACATCATAGAAATGTAATGGTACACAGGCGTGGCTTTGAATATTTCTTAAAAAGCTATCAGTTTCCTAGTAAAGGAGTGGCATTCATTATTGATATAAACCCATGTTCGGCATTGCTTAAAGTATTTTAAATACTTTGTTTGATTGGTGTCCTTTTAGTAGTTAGATTGGAGCATGGACTCTAGTGATCAATGTAGTTTTCCCACTACGCTTTTTTGGTGCCTTTTGCATGCTTCATAATATGTGACTTCTGTAGCATAATTTTTAGATAAATGCATCTGCTAATGTTTACTTAACCTAAAAACCAAGGACTAAAGAATGAGATAAAGTTGAATGACATCTTATCTTAAAGGGCATTGAAATTTTGTTTTGAGCACTTTTATTATTTTGCTATTATAATCAGAATTTGCGGACGGGGATGTAATATAATAATAATAAAGCCTTTTTATTTCCTAAACTTCACAAATGTTTAGATTTGTTGTATACTTTTTTTTTTCTTGTCCCTCGATACACTTCCTTCTGTACCATTGATCAAAACACCTTCACAGGTAAAGGTTCTCCAGGTTTTTCGCTTCCTGTTAACACTTCCGACATATTGTTCACCGCTTCTCATCCATATAGTTTTTTACAGTCCAACTTATATATTTATATTTGTATGCTATGTATAGTTTGGTTTTTATTTTTGTGTTGTATGTCTACGTTTGCCAGCCGTATGGAAGATACAAGTGTCGAAGACAAATAATTGTCTTTAGGTAAAAGGGAAATTTCCCTTGAATTATAAAGGGCTCCAATAAATTCTTGTTATTACAATGACGAGAAAATTCAGATCATGATTCAAGGATTAAACAAATAGTTGAAACATGATCATCAATGTTAAAATATTTTTGTGAATTGTCATCATGAAATAACCCCAGTTATAGAAAAAATATTGATTGACTCGGTTCTGTAAATGGCCAAACTTTCTGGCGCCTACATATATACCACAAAATTCCAAACCATTGTAATGTGGAATTTGATGGAATCTTTATTTTTCAGCAATATGCTGAACAGCTAGGTATTCCATTCTTGGAGACCAGTGCGAAGAACTCTACGAATGTTGAGCAAGCTTTCATGACGATGGCGGCTGAGATTAAGGCGCGCGTTGGTCCGCCATCTGCCGGTTCACCGACATCCAGTATGTCCGTCAAGATTGATCAGGGAAGACCCATTGATACTGGCAAGTCGTCTTGCTGCTGAATATTACTCACACTTGGTAAGTTACACGCTATTAAAAACCTTTAAAAAGTATTTAATTAATGTTGTTTTTATCCCATTTCTTATCTAATATTGGTAATAAGTTAATTGGAATAATAGTAGTCAAAAACTTCCTAGTTTTCCTTAATCCTTTCTTGGAATAAATTTATTTAATCTACTTATACAACTAAACAATGAGTGCGGTCTCTTGTAAGTTACAGATTTATTATTATAGATTTTATAATAATGTTTGACATAGAATAATGACACAGAAGTGACATTTTTTTAAAGTAATACTTATATATCCCAATTATATTCTACGGCTTTTAAATTTGCAGTTACTTGCTCTGAGAAAACCCGAGTCACCTTTCGTTATTACCGTTAATAATACAAATGAGGTAAACAAAATATACCGCTATTCAGCTAGATAGTTATTATGCCTTTGTGTGTGTATACTATATACAGGGTAAACTCTATAACGTAAAAATGAGTTACATTTATTTGATTTAACCCAATACCATTACATTAATTCTTACTTCCCTATAACGAAAGCTCTCTATAACGAATATATAAATGAATAAATATATAGTTTTCCATCTCATTTTAGGCTGGCGAGATAATGGAGCCGTCCCGGCCGCCGCTCGCCTCACTTACACTATTGAACGCAAATACAACAAACGTTTTATTGCATTAATTATTATAAACAAATCTAAAAAATAGTGAACTTATGTTAAGCTAACTTCTCTTAAGTTGCAACGTCCGACATATTGTTAGTTCAACGGAACGGTGAAATGTATGGGTGTATGTTTATACATATTTATATATAATGATTATCGTAGGTATAATTTTATGTGCTCCGAGCAGATCATCCATGCGACGTGGGAAATTTAATGTTTTTGTATTTAGGATTATAGTGAAATAATTAAAATCTAAAGGTTCTCTCGGTATGTTTGTTCTAGGCTAATAAGCCGGCTTCTTCACTCGAGGTACTAATTTTGCACTGAGTGTTATTCCATTATATTTGTATTGTTCCGCAATGGCTGTACCACATTTGTGTTAGGACCCGATTTGCTTGATTTTAATGCCGTGTGTGATACAACTAAAATAGTTCCAGGTTTCTAGTATTAACCCGTTGCACGGGTTCATATCTTCATTACTTAACACAAAACTGTAGATAATATAGCAAATTGGCCTTAGCGTTAGACGGATGTATAGTTATAATGTTTAGTCATCACTTTCGATTCAGCGGGAACATAGTATTAAAAGACATTAATATCACCACAGTGGTTGTCGTGCGATTTTTCAACTTTCACGTTAATTTAAAAGTTCTGTCTTAAGTATTATTAAATTTTTTTAAACGCAATAATACATGTGGCATTTGAAAAATTGCATGCGAATTTTATTAATTGATCGTATGAAACTTAATTATTTTTGTACTGTTATGTGAAGAGTTAAGTTTAATTAGATCCGCTAACCCACTGTAATTCTGTATTGAGGGTTTCTTAGAAATTAAAACAGTATGCTATTAAGGATGTTTTATTTACAATCCCAAATTTACGCAAATATTGTAGCCATTTAAATAAGTAAGATATGAACGGGAATTATTATACATCGTGGTAAACACAAAAGCACTAGAAGTTTTGGGCTAAGTGCGTAAGAAACTCTTGTATATATCCGTAAATGATTATGAATCAAAGATATTTCTTGGGTTGTTAAAATTACAAAAGTTTTACAAGTCAAATTGAGTGGAGAATCAACAGCAACATCTCATCATATACTCATAGTCGTGACAGAGGCCGTGCAAGTTGAGAGGGCATTGGAGAAATTCTGGACATAGTATTGGTAAATTATCTGTAATAAAATATAATCATGAGAACTATAGGAAACTACCTCTACCTACACAGTTCCAAGAGTGAGATTCAAAAATAACATGGAAGTTCCCACTAAAGTCACGTTTTCGGTTGTTAAATAAATAAAAAGGTTCGATTACCAAAAACCCATAATTTAAAAAAACGCTGATATGAATTATAATATTTACACTTTTTACATGACTGAAAGAAACTGAAAATTCTTTTCACTTCAGTTAAGAAAGCAGGTTGGTGCAACACTTGAAAATTAGTGATCGCAAAAATATGTCTGCCCTAAAGCTGGCCATAGACGGACCGCATGTTCCAGTCGATACCGACTGCTCTAAGCGGTCTCCGCACGGCGATCTGCAGTTTCCATACTAAATTCATATCCGCAATACACGGACCGCACGACCAGTTTCTGAGCGGTCGGTGCAGTCGCTCTGCGGTCGGCTGCTTAGAGCTGCCGGACCCACCATACACGGACCGCTACAAGCGGTTGCTGCCGACCGCGCGCCTCTCCCTCAAATAAAATAAAATACTAACTAATTCATCAAATGAAACCACGGACATTCTAAAGTAGTTGAAAAACATTATAGTGTCTTCTCTCAGCTGGGGATACAAAGTATGAAATATTCCATGCTGTTCTCTTGATTGTAGTATTGGATGCACCCACCCTACGGTGTCTTCTACGCCTACGCTTGCGTAGTAATAGTAAAAGTAGCAGTGTTTCTTCAACGAATTCCATCTTTTAAATGAACTCGGATCAGTATTATTTTGCGGTCGAACGCAACTGCTCCAAGCAGTCGTAGCCGACTGCATTATGCGGTCCGTCTATGGCCAGCTTAAGACTTTCTAGGTAACAGGTATTCGACTTTATTTTAATTCCATTTCCAAAAACTAGCCCTGTATTGTTCATATAACGTAAGTTCATCTAAATTTTCATGATTTATTAAAATTAAAAACATTTTTTTAATTTCGATTCTCTTAGTTGGCCAACTTTTCAAAGTATATGGCGTATAAGGCTGTGGCGCTGAGTTCAATCCCAGCGAAACAAGATTTTTTTCATCTCTATGTGGTCTTAAGAATCATGGTAATTTAGGAATGTTTATTCTATACCTCATTGGGTCAAGACTTACCGAACACATGCTTACATCCACAACAGTACCCATGTATTATTGCTTCGTCGTCCTCACAACCTCGGGGTGGACACCCATTGCACCATAGACCAACACCCAGCCAGGGCATATTCCCTAAATAAAAATATACGAAATATAAAATGTATCCAATTTAAAATTATCAGGAAGTCGGTTGAAAAACTACCTTTGGTTTTTACGGTCTCAGACGACGTTTAAGACATAAAATAAAAGCCTTGAACAATTGAATTCTGATTTGCTATCGAATATTTCTTTGTATGGCGGAAAACTTAGTTTATTTGTCTTTATGGCTCAATACTTCACCAATATCACAATCCATGTTTTATACGGACGGGGGGAAAATGAGCTCTGCCGGAAAATTATAAGCATTTCAAAATAGACGGTTGTTTTTTTCAGTTTAACTAAGCTATATGGAACGAATAATTTTATACTCCCATTTGTATTGCTGTTTTATTTTGTCATATTAATTAACACATTAATGTACATATTTAATTAACACGAAATACATATTCTTTCGAACGAGATTTCTACTTTGACTTTTATTGTGAGATCATATATGCATCTTGTTTATGCAGACGTCCTAACAAAATAGCATTAATTAAATAATTATAACTAGTTACTTACATCTGGGTGCTTTCCGAACAACACTTATACCGGTATCCATGGAAGGTTTATAGAAAAAACCAAAACTGCTTGCTATAAGATACCAAAAAATGTGTACAATTTTTAAATTCATGTCTACGAGTAAGCTTCATACTTTTCTGCTTTGGTTTATATTATGGAGTAAATGACTTAATTAGGTGACCACTTATAGGTCAGTGCCATACAGATAGTTCTAATTACATTTTAAGAATATATTTTAACATTTATAGTTATCTCTGGTTACCTTTAGAAGTATTTCCTTACCTTCCTTTAAAAACACCGGTCTAACGAAAATTTTCACTAAAATATGGACAGTATTTTAGTTAATAGCACTACAGGTAAAAACAATTTCTTAGGAATAAATATTAGTTAAAATAATGTTATTAAACTCATTTTTTTTAAACGAATTTCTTTTATTTACAATACAAACAAATTTAAAAAGTTTGGTCGCTGTGGCAGTGTACTTTTAACGCTGGCAGCATTTCTTCGCTGTATTGCGATACTTATTCGTTGAGCCAGGAAAGTGCCAGCTCTGGGGTCACCGGTACTATCTACTAGGCGCCAACTTAAATCTTTAATAAACGCCTGTGCACTTGAACTAAACTCATTTAGTTTTTATTTATAAAAACCTACGATATTCAAAGAGTCTCGTCTTCCGGCGCCAAGTTTATATTTTTAATATGTATTGTATAATAGTGAATTTCACGAAAGAATCCCAAATTTTGCTACTTAATTCTAGGCTTTATGCCTATGGTCTGAACAGCTGTAATTAATAAAATTCAAGTAATTTGTCAACATTTATTAAATTCAACCACTATTTGGCACATTTAAACTCTAATAGAAGTAAAATCTATTGTTTTGGCAATTTTTTGAGAGATTGATGGAGTATAATATACATATATAATTTTTACACAGTTTAGATTTTACATTACATTAAGTGACTAAAATCCGAAATAATTTTTGAAGTTATACTTTTTTTTGGCGCGTTAGGGAAAAATTATGAGAGTAAATTTTAACGATGCGCGCACCGTCTCAAAAAACCGACACCCTGAACTTAGCTATTATCAACATTTTCGTTTTTTCTACAAACGTAGAATAAAATTTTTGATTTTTTTTTAACTTGTTACGCCAAAGAAGTATAACTTCAAGTACATACACACGTTTTTTTTACTGGGAATCGAACCAGAAAGGGGAAATTGTCGGACTTGATTATAAAGGTATAAACTTCTACCACTTAACCACTGAGGCGGTATAAACATGTATACTTGTGCAAATGTTATGTCATTTTCTAAAACAATATTATGGGTACAAAAGATGAGTCTAAAATTTTATTTTTAATATAATAGAGAAATATTAATGTTTACATTCGTAACACACAATTTGTCGATTTTGGCAACCAGAGAGTTACTTGTCTATGCCAACCACAAAGTTTGTGGTTTTGACATTTAAAAGGTTTGTTGGCACAGATAATTATACATTTTTTTAAATAGAAGCTCGTTCTATCAGCTCTGTGCACAGGGAATGATCGAGAAATTCATGATGAGATGGGACGGGCGGTAGGAGGGCGCCACTTTCCCAAGTTTTATTTCCCAAACAGTTGCAGGAACAAACCTGAAATATATTTTTTTTAAAATTCATTCTTACAAAACAAATCATTATAATAGATATTACATTTAAAAGATTAAATAGTAATTATACTGGTATTACAAGAGGCCTAGATTTTTATGATTAAAGATTTTCAATCGAAGTCCTGTAAAATGACGTGAATTATTGAAATATCTTACTGAAGCCTGGTCTTCATGGGATCTCTGTCGGGTAGTAATTATATGACCATCTATTGGTAGCAACGTCTTCGATCCATCCTTGTCTTCGTCACGAGCGCTTTCTTCAGCTTGCCTGAAAATATTAAGTAAACCTTGTTTCATATTCTTTTAAGTTCTACTGATGTTTTTCTTGTTATGTGTAAATCCAAAACTAATGAGAAGTTTTTAAAAAAAATGTGTGCGTGTACTAGGTGTACACACGTAAGAAGTGAAACTTATATAAAACCTTTGTTGTACGCAGAGCCATAATTGGTTTGTTTTAAGTTTAGAGGTCCGAAACTATTTCTTTAAACACAGTAAATTTTGATACACTGCCTAGCATACAATTTACAAATTAATTGCTGCAAATTGCGATTAGCAAATTTCAAGTCGAAAATGTAATCCGTTGTCAAACTTCAAAGTCAAAAACATACTATATGTCATATTTTAACGCCGATAAAGAAGTTTGACTTCAAAAAGCAACATGGCGCGTAACGGAAAAATGTGACGCGTAACGCAAAAATGTTACACTAAATTTTTTTCCAACCCCGATAAAGAAGTTTCACTTCAAAAAATACTAGTTAAATGAATCTTACATAGTCATAAATCGTAGGACCAACAAGTTGATACTAGCTGCAACCACGGCCAATCCAAACAGAATGAACACCAAACTCAGTGCTACATATCCCGGCTTACTTGTTAGGGCTTGATCATTCTAAAAGTATTTACATGTATAATATTGTATACTAAATAAAATTTTGTATTACATTACATATATATGTCACCGTAAAACTGTCAAAAGATTGTGAACCTCAACGTACTGTTTACAATTTAACATATTATTATTCGGTAGATTGTAATCTATCGAAGTGAAACCGTCAAATTACAATTTTAAAATTGTTAAAAAACAAATCGAAAACATATGAACAATAATTTCATATAACTAATTCTAAAGCTGTGAGTTACTTTCAACACGACATCAATTCATTCGCCAAAACACTGTTTGTTTCGACAACAAACAAATATGGTGGCGCGTGACATATTCCGTTCAACCAATCAGCGCGCGAGGTGCGTACCGTTTCACAATTTGACGGTTTCACTTCGATAGATTACAATCTACCGCATAAGAATTCCTTTATTTTGTAAGCAGTACATAAAGGTTCAGATAGATTACAATCTAACGGTATTTACAATTTATTTTACGTTGACATATACAACATGTAACATACTTGCAAGATAAAATGTTTAAGTAGTTATGATTAGATATACATAGACTCACAAAATCAGCTATTGGTATGGTGTACTACAATAAGAGCCTCATAGCCTACCGGTCTTATTAAGTGCCTGCTAGGTGAGGGGTATCGGGTTCGATACCCGGTTCGAGTGCAAAATTAAATAAGCTTCTTTTCACCACATTAAAAAAAAGGTGTACTACAATATATCTACTACTGTACCTGTAAAGCAACATAATCTCCAAATCCTATAGTAGTAAGAGTGACAAAGCAGTAATAGAAGCTGTCAAAATAGTTCCATCCTTCATATCTTGAAAACACTGCTGCACCTGTGACATTTTAATGACATTCAATTCCCGGAAAAACTTTCAGACTTTCCAAAATAATTTCCAAAGAAATGGTACACACTACACATCCAAACAAAACATGTGGAATAGTCTGCCCTATTGGAGAATTAGGGGACATTCCGATGCAATATAAGGCCATATTTTACTTATAATTTTCATTCTAAATATAATGTTTTATTTTAATAAAAATTATCAGTACCGTCTACTCTCGATAATTAGAAGCTAAAGATAAATTTCAAATTACCAAGAGTTCAAACTAACAAACGTTGAAATAACGACAAGGGGTAGCGGGGATTTAAGTAAATAAGAGTTTAATCAAATATCGTGATTTGTATTTCTATATTATTATTATTAACAATTAAATACAATAATATAGTTATTAACTAATTTTATTACGAAAAGGAGTCCGTAATCTTTATTTGAGTGTCTATCATTGTCAAAAGAATTTTAAAAAACAGCAGACAGATCTGTGACATTAACATGACAAGTATATCAAATTATGGCATGTTGGCGAGCAAGATACTATTCCTTCTCAGCTTCAAATTACCGATGGGACCAATTAACATTGATTTTATTAAATTTATCGAGTATTTTTCATGGGACTAGAAAAGAAATCAAATTATCGAGAGATTTAAATTAACGAGTGTCAAATTATCAAGAGTTGATTGTATTTACAATTTAAATAGTGTTAAAAACGATAATTAATCTCTTAAGTGTAAAATTTAGAGATTATTGTTTATAAGATGTTTACCTGTTGTAATTATAATAGAAGACAACATTCCAGTGGCAAACATAAGATTCATTTCCGTTGCCTCAGTTGTATTACATCGCAAATAACATTTAGCTCGCCGTATAACCACTGACGCGAATTTGTTCAGACGCTCACCAATACTTTGGAACATCACTAGACCCAGGGGTATGCCCACCTAAAATTATAAAATTAATTTGTAATTCCATAGCACAATGGACACACAATTAGTCAATCGTGAAATTATAAACATTATTTATTTTTTGTAAATAAATTTTGTCTGGATAAGTTATATTCAAAGAAAAATATATCTGTTCAGAAGTCACAGAGGAGTTGTCACTTGATAATACACAAAATATTAACAAAATTAAACTAAATAAAAATATAAAATAATAGGGTAACATAATGACTAAATATACATTTATTGCCAATTCAATAGTGTAGATAAACTGGCAAGAAACTCTCCACTCTCCAATAAGGGTTGTGGCACCACAGGATAATTAAAAATTATGACCCCGCCTTTTAAAATAAAAAAAAAAAAAAAAAAAAAAAAAAAAAAAAAAAAAAAAAAAAAAAAAAAAAAAAAAAAAAAAAAAAAAAAAAAAAAAAAAAAAAAAAAAAAAAAAAAAAAAAAAGAGGAAAAGAAAAAAAGAAAAGGGGGAAGGGGGGGGGGGGGGGGGGGGGGGGGGGAGAGAAAAAAAAAAAAAAAAAAAAAAAAAAAAAAAAAAAAAAAAAAAAAAAAAAAAAAAAAAAAAAAAAAAAAAAAAAAAAAAAGGGGGGGGTCCCGGCGGGGGAGCCCCCTTTATTTTTTAATCCCCAAGAACAATATTAACTGTGTAATTTAACTCTAAGGATGTAATTATAATATGACTTTTATTTATTTTTCTTGCTAAGTATAATATTTCCAACATTTTGAATGTTAAAGAGAGGGAAAATCAGTCCAGACTTAAAGCTTACAACATAATATATCTTTATGTTAAGTAGTACAACCCAGATAAGAATATTACATAGAATATATTCATTTTTTATATTATATTTAGTGTTAATAATGTTTCATATTTTATCAGTTATGTCTGTACTCACCTTACATTTTTTCTTCATATTACCTTAATTATTTTTAAGTATGATTAAGCTGGCAATAATGTTTATATGTAATTACCCAATTTATGGCGACATCCAGAATAATTATGTCCTTAAAAGTCTGCAGTGGTTCAAATTAAAAACAAAATTTGATAAACTATGGGTGGCACACTAAAAATTATAAGGAATAAATTAAAAAACAAAAATAAGTGTTTACAACATCATCCACTTATAAAACTCATAATAAAGGTTAAATTAATAAATTGATAACAATTAAAAAAAATTAACAAACAGTATTTCATATGTCACATATACAGTACACCAAAACAGGTTTTAATAAAAGAAAACATTTTCTTTTAATCCAATGCTATGGCAAAAGCTGTTTTTTCTATAAAATATCTTTTAATAAGCTCACAAACTTACCATAGCATATGCCATACAAAAAGCTTTGCCTCCGACAGTGACTGGAGTAGAATGGCCATATCCAATCATGGCTAGTACAACAGTTGCAAAGTAGAATGCACCAGCAAACTTCCATTGAGGACCAGCTTTGTGTGGCTTGTTCTCTATAATCACTATTTCTATCATATGATAGTCTTCTGGTGTGATATTGTATTTTCGTACTAAACCATTCTTCATGTCTGAAATACCACATCAAACAATATTAAGTTAAACTATGTTTTTCTAAATATGGTTGTATGAAATAAGAGTTCTAAATCAGGTTACAAACAAATTTATGCAACTAAGTAATTCTGGTAGATGCTTCACCTCCAAAGATAGAAGATAATTAATGACCAAAAGGGATTGGTCAAGTAAGGCACTCAAGGGGAAAAATTTATATTTTTCTAAGATATATTATATTCACTGACAAAAAATACATTTCTTGAAACACTTTGTAATGTGCAAAAACAGTTTTAGTTCTTACCAGACAAAACTTCCCATCTTTTACTTTCTGTGTCAGACTCCAGTGCATCAAAAACTGCTGCTCCAATAAGTAAATAGGTAAAGGTGCAAACAACCAAAGACAGGGTACGAACATTTTGTCGTTTCATTCTTTTCAAATTTTAATCTACCAAAATATCAATAATCAATAAGAAAAAAAGAATAGAAATGTTTTGACATTTCTATTGTTTTTGTAGATGTTATGCATTTAGTTGAGATAAAATGTTAAGTGTCAACTGTCAACCTACGATGTATATTTTAACCGTAATCATCGTAGGGATGAGTCATGACATGGATCGTCAATCGTTATGGATTAAAAAGTCGCGATATGATCCACGAACCGTATTCACTCGATCCAATTTTATAATATACTAGTGGACCCCACAGACGTTGTCCTGCATGATATTTAAAGCGATTAGGATATTAAGCAAAGTATGAAATACCGACTGCAGTGCCATCTGCCAGGCTGATTTGTGAATCGACTTAAACACACACAAAAATTTCATCAAAATCGGTCCAGTCGTTTGAAAAAAATTTTTATAAACCTCGATGTATAGAGTATTTTATGATACCATGGGCCTAAACCTCGATATTTTCGAAACTAAATCGATTTGAAGATTTGATAATCAAAAGCATTAAATTAGTTTGTTACCTATGGTCGAATGTCAGCTTTGTGTTCAGTCATTGTCAATATGACGATTCGATACTAGAAATTAGAATGACAATGTTCATTTTACAAACGTGTGGACTGGTGTGGCGAGTCTACAGTGCATTAAATTTGTTATCCGATAAAATTTTCAATTAAGTTATTTTAATAAACATTACACTAAGATTTCATCATGAAAGTAGTTTGTAGTAAAACAAATCCACCGCTCGGTAAGGCAAATTTTTAGTGCATTAAATGCACTTATATTTTCATATGCCGTAAAGTTCATTAGTTCTAAAAATATTTTATTTCCCAGGTGGTTTGCTAGCAGTGGAACTCTACCGGTCCTCAGCAGGAGATGTAGAGATTGTTTGGGGTGCCGAATCAACCATTACTCTTCCCAAATCTACTAAAGCTCTGTCATATGGGACTAGTAACGATTTGATAAGGATTTTGGAGAATACTTTTAATAAATCTGTTGGAACCTTGCAGAGGGTGACGATGAATCATTGGCTTTCATTCAGCCTTATTTTGGAAGAGGAAATTCAGGAATCTTTGTGCTACTTGGACAAAATCCTGGGACCATTAACTTACTTGGTGGGGGAATCATTATCAGTGTCTGATTTGGCTGTCTTCAGTGTTTTATATGGTAAATTACAAAGTCTTGGCATGTTTAAAAAAATCTTAGATACTTTTGATTAATTATTCTTGGGACTTCAGTCAGTCTGCTGAGTTACACATAAATATTTGTAATACTTTCAGCTTCAAATAGCTTTAAGGAAATATCTAAGAAGAACCCTCCAAACAATATATTAAGATGGATGAAGCTTATTCAAGCTCAGAAGCCAGTTGAGAAAGCTCTGAAAGAAATACCTTCTGATATACTGGAAAACATCAATAAGGCTACATCTAGGTTTGTAAACATTTTTTAAACAAAACAATTCTAATCATATAGAAAAAGACAGGTTTACCTACATAGGTTTAATGGTCATCTGTTATTACGCAAATAACTGTTTTGAGGAAGCATAGACATTATATATTTTTTTTAATATAAATTTATTTTGATCCTCGAAGAATTAAATTACATGAATTTGTTATAGGAGATCACCACCTTCTAGTAAAGAAACAAGTTCCGGTCGCCAGCAAGAAGGTAAATTCATTGAGTTACCTCATGCTGAAATGGGAAAAGTTGTGGTGCGTTTTCCACCTGAAGCATCTGGGTATGTAAATGTATCATCATTAAATTTTAATGTGGAAAAATTGTACAAAATACTATAGTCACAAGAAAAATAACAATACTGTCATTGCTGCCTTCATGGTGTGACAAGACGGGTCTCTATGTGAGTAAAATAATGAGACAACTAGTATAATATAATTATTTTTGTTTCAGATATTTGCACATTGGACATGCTAAAGCAGCTCTGCTCAATCAATACTACCAGCTGGCTTTCGAAGGCAAGCTTATTATGAGATTTGATGATACAAATCCTGCTAAAGAAAATGCTGATTTTGAAAAGGTAAGTAATTCTATTAAACATTGAGATAAACTGGCCTAAAAAAAAAGTTCACCTGTACATGAGCATTGTAGTTTTTTCTTATAAATATTTAGCTGTAGCTTCTAGATATCATAAAGCTTCAATGGGGTATATGTAAAGTAACCATTTATTCTTTGACTCAAAACGGGACATTGGTTTAATTTAGGTCAAGTAATAAGTGGTCAATGAAAAAAAAAAAAAAATTTGAAGTTATTTATTTAGAAAAAGTTAGTTGGCATAAAAGTTACGAATCACAAAATATAGGTATCCAAAATGTTTAGTTATATTTACCAGAAGAACAAATTTGTTTTAATATTGCTGGTGACGATTTCAAATAAGAATGAAACTCTTAAATTTTCGCGCTCTTTCTGAAAACGGGACAATCTTGCGTCCCACAGTTCATGTCGGGTACACCGGGACTCGTAATTGGAAAAAGGGACAGTCCCGTTGAAAACGTCTGGTCACGTTAGGTATAGGGGAGGCATGTGCCATTGTGATCATAATAGTTTTTTTATGGACCTACCAAGAAAAATAAATTGTGTTAAACAGGTAATCCTGGAAGACGTAAAGATGTTAGAGATAAAGCCAGATATGTTCACACACACATCTCAATACTTTGACCTGATGTTGCAATACTGTGAGAAGCTTATAAAGGAAAGTAAAGCTTTTGTAGATGACACACCAGCAGAACAGATGAAGAACGAGAGGGAACAGAAAGTTGAAAGCAAGAATAGAAACAATTGTACGTATTTTCTTATAGGAGTTGATGGTGTTTTTGGTTTGGTAAATAAAATAAAATTAAGTGCATTCATAAATTATCTGTAACATATTATACATTATTGTAATAATATTTTGTTATAGACATTAACATTTCAAATAGATATAACTGAAATAAGAATTTTACTAGTAGCCTGTCCCAGCTTCGAAAGGCTGGACTTTATTTTGTTATCTGCATCTTCTACCGCGTTTACCATGGAGAGTGGTCAGAGGAGTTTCATTATCAAGGGCAAAATACAAAATACCATCCATATAACCTTCGACGTCCGTCGTTCCACTGAACGCTTCTTAAGGCAGTTTTTGCCGCGCACCATTTTGTATCGGAGTTCCATAACTTTGGGAAAAATAAATTGAATTAAAGAAATAAAATATTTAAAATACTAGAAATGATAAAAAAAAAACAAGGGGGGGGGGGGGGGGGGGGTTTTTTTTTTTTCCCCTTGAGAAATAAAAAAAGGGGGGGGTTTTTTTTTTTTTTTTTTTTTTTTTTTTGTTTTTTTTCAAACCCCCCTTTTTTGAATTCTTAAAAATAACTGGGGGGGGGGTTTTGTGTGTTTTTTTGTGGCACCCTGGCAATTGGCCCTGGCCATTGGTATTATAGTGACAACGAAATTCAAACTATACACCTAACCAAAACATTGCGATCCGGTTCTACGTAATAAAATTATTGTCATCTTTAAATAATTAATACATTTTCTAAAAGGTTACTCGTGAATTTCTAGTTATTGCAATAATAAAATAAATGAATACATAAATAACAATAAATTGAAGATATATGTGTACTTTAGATTTTTAAATATTTGTTATTGGTTTTTTTATTAAGGATAATAAACAAAAGTATTGCATGAAATGAAACATCAATTTGTATTTTGACATTTTCTGTCCCTTTTTGGGGGGTTGGTTTAATCTCACCGTTAAAATGTCTATAAATACGGGGAAATCATAGTTTAACCTTAGTGTACACTAAGCAAAGTTTTTCGTAAGGTAAGTCTGAGCAAAGTCAAGTGGATATAGATCTCACCTTAAGGCAATTTTTGCCGCGAACCACACTATGTGAAACCAGCTGCCCGCTGAAGTATTTCTGAACCAATTCGACTTAGGGTCCTTCAAGAAAAGAGCGTACCAATTCTAAAAAGGCCGGCAACGCACTTGCGAGCCTTCTGGTAACTTAAGTGTCCATGGTTGGCGGTATCACTTAACATCAGATGAGCCTCATGCCCATTTGCCTCCTATTAGATAAAAAAATTGTATAGATAAGGAAACAGCCTCACAAGAATCACAAGAACAAAAAAAAGTAAGACACAACGTAATAAAAATATGCGTCTTTAATCATGTTTATTAAAATAAAATCCTTCATAGTTTTATACATGATTATATTTTATGAATGATGAACTTCTCAATCTGGCTATGTTATGTATGAGAATTTAAAAATGTGTAATATTTGTCATTTGTAGCGGTAGAGAAAAATCTTCAACTGTGGGAAGAAATGAAAAAGGGCAGTGATATTGGCATACAAAATTGTGTGCGCGCAAAAATAGATATGCAATCACCGAATGGATGTCTTCGGGATCCTACCATCTACCGTTGTAAACCTGAAGTACATCCAAGAACTGGAAATAAATACAAGTATGTATTTCCATACAATGCACAACTCCTCAACTATTTATTTAGTAGTTTTTTTTTAATATGGGTATTGTATATTGTAAAATAACTCCACACAATCTCTTTTCAATTCCAAAATTCTCCCATACCCCACATGAGACATAATATTTATGTTTTATTGATAATATTAAACTTACGTCAAAATTGATTAGCGATATTAAAAAAAAACAAGTCACTTGTGTTTTCGTTCTAATTTATACATTTATTTAACTACAATTAATGATTAATGAGGCTCATCTGACGTTCAGTGACACCGTTGCCTATAGACAATCACATTGGCAGAGAGCTCACAAGTGCGTTGTGGGCCCTTAATCATTAAAAAAAATAATAATTGAAATATGTAAAATTTCAGAGTATACCCAACGTATGATTTCGCGTGTCCAATAGTGGATGCCATTGAGGACGTGACTCACGTACTACGTACTATGGAGTATCACGACAGAGACCCACAGTTTTACTGGTTCATAGATGCCCTGGGGCTACGCAAACCATACATATGGGAGTACAGCAGGTCTATTTTTACATTTATTTAATATTGTCTTTGTACGCGAGTACACATTTATTTAAAAAATAAATAAATCAGTGGCGCTACAACCTCTTTAGGTCTTGGGCTCAGATTTCTGAATGTATCATGATCATTTTTAATCTAATAGGCAAGTAGGTGATCAGCCTCCAGTGCCTGTCACACGCCGTCGATTTTTTGGGTCTAAGACATGTCGATTTCCTTACGATGTTTTCCTTCACCGTTCAAGCAAAATGTTAAATGCGCACATAAAAATAAAGTCCATTGGTGCACAGCTGGAAATCGAACCTACGACCTTAGGTATGAGATTCGCACGATGAAGTCACTAGGCTCTACACACACACACACTACACATTTATTTACTCTAAGTAATACCAAATACAATTAGAGTAATAAACCAGTTTTTGTTCATATTCAAATAGAATTTTTGGTTTATTACCAAAAGTTCTGGCTATAGTGGGATGGCGGCACTTCAGAAATCAATGAAATCGTTTAATTTAAGGAAAAATTTGTAATTTAATAATTGATAAATTTTACTAAGATAATTTTTCACGTCTTTATTATAAACGATTATTTAATCCTATTTACACTAGATGTAGTGTAAATAGGATTTAGTAAATTTCATATTTCGGATACAAATCATAAATTTAATAGATAGTTTGTAGTGTTTGGCCAAATTCAATAACAAATACTACTTGCAACTAGATGGTGCTATACCTAAATTTATGGCAACAAATGCTCGAATAAGAGGGTACCCTTGGGTACGGGGAGTCAGGCGTTACTTGTCGCTTGTCGTGTCGATCTTGTCTGAGTAGCGACTTCCCCGTACGTGCTATCCGAATCAAGACGTAAAGTGATTTCTTTAAATATATTATTTTAACAAAATATTATTTATTTTTCTTTAGTAAATGAATATTTTATTCTCAATAAAATTTTTGAGTGCTTAAAAGATTTTTTTTACAGACTAAGTATGACCAATACTGTGCTTTCAAAACGGAAGTTAACTTGGTTTGTCGAGCAAGGACTTGTCGATGGATGGTAAGTCTATTATTATTATTTAAATAAATTAAAAACTTGATTACATTGTTCGGCCATAAAATACAGACTTTAAATTATAAAACGTCAATCAAATTTAAATATAGTACATATTTATATTAAGAAGCAATTATTTGCAGAGTACTCTTGCAATCTCATTATATCTACTATTATATAATAATAATTAAATCACGTTTATTTCCAATATTTAAATATTATTCAACATTTAGATTATACAGTTTCAATTAAACTTTATTAGTAATCATTACAATCAAATATACAGTATTAACTTTTCTTAACTTACATACTAATAATAAAAATAATTAAAAATTAATAAAAAGAAAATTAAAACAAATTTAAAAAGTCTGGTCCCTGTGGTGGCAGTGTAGCTTTAACGCTGGCAGCATTTCCTCGCTGTATTGTGATAAATCACAGAACAGATTTTTTTTTACTTATGTAACTTTAATGACGTTGTGGTTTATGACATTTTCCTTTGAATAATTGTAATGTAGATGGAGGGTAAAACTTGCTGAGTTTCTTGCCCGTTCTTCTCAGAACAAGGCTTCCTGGTAGTTTCGCGAACGGATGGCGTAATCTTGCTCTTTCGCGAATTTTGTAAACGTTTTTGACATTCATAAGCATGCGCTCAGACGCATCTAAATTGAATAAACGTATTTTGATTTGATTTGATACTTATTCGTTGAGCAAGGAAAGCACCAGCTCTGGGGTGCCCGGTTACTGTCTACCATTATTTAATTAAAATTAAATTTACTTTATAAATTTGTTTTAATTTTCTTTTTATTAATTTTTAATTATGCCGTTTAGATTTGTTATAAAAATTTTCTTGTTACTGGATATCCTAGCTTCCTTCAGTACCATTGATCGGAACACCTTCAAGAGTAACGGCCTCCTGAAGTTTTTTTAGGACGCCCTCTTCACCTTCTATATGCTTCTCTCCGTTATCTGGAATGTTCTTTCTGGAATGCTACTATTAAGAAGATCTATATTTACAGGGATGACCCGAGAATGCCGACAGTGCGTGGTGTATTACGTCGCGGTATGTCTGTGGAAGGGTTAAGGCAGTTCATACAAGCGCAAGGCTCTTCACGATCGGTCGTATTCATGGAATGGGATAAGATATGGGCTATTAATAAGAAGGTATGAAATATACTTACTGTTTTGTCACTTTCCATCGAATTGTCTTTACCATCTGATGAAAAGAGATAGGTGATAGTTACGATGGAGTAATAGTAAAATATATATTATTTATTTTATTTCCTTCATAATGCGTCGACTTTAGTTGCGCTTGATAACACGCTTGCTTCTAAGAAAAGTCGACAAAACCAAAGTGAACTATAGCTACATGTTAACTACAAATCAACAACATGTCTTTCAGGTAATTGATCCGATAGCACCGCGTTACACGGCCCTCGAATCAAACCCAGTACCGGTGAACCTAAAAGGTACATCCGAGTCCACATTGACCGTAGCCCTTCACCCCAAGAATCCAGACGTAGGGTCAAAAACTGTCTGGGTGGGTCCCAGACTCCTAATTGACCAGGTAGACGCTCAAGCCCTAAAGGAAGGAGAAAATACTACATTTATTAATTATGGCAATATCAAGATTGATAAAATACATAGGTAAGTTAACATATTCTATATATTTAGATAATAGGATCTTAGATAATTATTTAATATATAAAATTCTCGTGTCACAATGTTTCATCCCATAGTCCTCCGAAAAGGTTTTAACATTTCACACCTTCAAATTGCTCAAAATAAAGTAATTAAATTGCTTTTTCATTACCCATAATTAACTTCTACTAAAAAATCTACAGTGAAACAAATCTCATGAATATGAAACAATTATTTCAATACAATACCAGCTTATTAATCTAAATGACTATATACACACTAACTAGTGAAAGTATCACTAAAACAAATCAAATTCAGAAGCGCAGTTCACGACGCCCTCACAATCTAATTAAAATAAAATATGTTTATTATGGAACATAAGATACATGTATCACTTATTCCACGTCATTAAATTTGAATAGGCATCCCTACTCATCGGCAAAGAAGACAGAGGGTGTAGGCCGAGAGAAAAAGACGGCGTAAAAAACTCTCGGTACTCTTTTAAAATAGCAAATTATCAAACAACACTTTTTTAAATCCATTAATTAGAGGTAGCCTGTCTAGCACTAGTCCCAGGCCCTTTATCAACTAGATAATCGTTGACTTTATAGTAAGCCTTTTTACACAGCTTTTCTTTAATACATTTCTTAAATTTATTAAAAGGCAGAGATAAAAGAGCCTCTGGGATTTTATTAAAGAAGAGTATCCCTTTTCCCAAAAAAGAATTACTAACTTTAGATAGTCTAGTACGAGGAAATTGCAGCCTGCGTTTGTTCCGTGTATTAACATTGTGCGTATGTTCTATTCTAGTAAACTTATCACTATTTTTGTATACATAAAACACACCCCCCCCCCCCACCCCCCCCCCCCCCCCCCCCCCCCCCCCCCCCCCCCAATTTTTTTGGATAAATTTGAGGGGTTTCCCCCCCCCCCCCCCCCCCCTTCTTTTTTTTTTTTTTTTTTTTTTTTTTTTTTTTTCCCCCCCCCCCCCCCTTTTTTTTTTTTTTTTTTTTTTCTTTTTCTTTTTTTTTTTTGTGTGGGTTGTTCTGTTCTCCTTTTTAAAAACCCCCCCCCCCCCCCCCCCCGGGGCGGGGGCGGCCCCGCCCCCCCCCCTCTTCTCCTTTTTTCCCCTCCTTTCCCCTTTTTTTTTTTTTTTTTTTTTTTTTTTTTTTTTTTTTTTTTTTTTTTTTTTTTTTTTTTTTTTTTTTTTTTTTTTTTTTTTTTTTGGGGGGGGGGGTTGTTTTTTTTTTTTTTTTTTGTTGGTTTTTTGTTGGTGGTTGGGGGGGGCCCCCCCCCCCCCCCCCCCCCCCCCTTTCCTTTTTTGGCGGGGGTTTGCGCCCCCCCCCCCCCCCCCCCCCCTTGGTTTGTGGGGGGTTGGTTTTTGGGGGGGGGGGGGGGGTTTTTGTTTGGTTTTTTTTTTTTTTTTTTTTTTTTTTGGGGCTTTTGTTTGTTTTTTTTTTTTTTTTTTTTCTTTTCTTTTTTCTTTTTTTTTTTTTTTTTTTTTTTTTTTTTTTTTCCCCCTCTTTTTTTTTTTTTTTTTTTTTTTTTTCCCCCCCCCCCCCCCCCCCCTTTTTTTTTTTTTTTTTTTTTTTTTTTTGGGGGGGGGGGGGTTTTTTTTTTTTTTTTTTTCTCCCCCCCCCCCCCTTTCTTTCCTACGTCGACATACATAATATTTTCATAAATATATTGCGAGGTAAAGGTAAGTATATTCAATTTCCTTGAATTTATCTCTAAGAGATTCCCTACATTTTAAATTAAAGATTGCACGAATAGCCCTCTTCTGCAGGATGAAAATAGTCTCGACATCAGCAGCATGACCCCATAATAATAAGCCATAAGTCATTAAGCTATAAAAGTAACTAAAATAAACAAGTCTACCTAAGTTTAGAACCAATTACGGTAAAAAAAACATTGAGCGTTGGGGGAGTGCTGCGGTATAATAGACTTCCACGAAATATAAAAAGTGCAAGACAGCCTGGCAATATTTAAATTAAGACTAAAATACCATCTCTTAAGTGATCCCAGTTGCCTACGTAAATCAAAGTCCACTTCTACTTCGCTAATTCATCCTTGAAGCTCTTCAATGACCCACGACGTGATAAATTGTATCTTTAGTATATAAGTTCTCATGTAAGTGACTATTGTCTGTTATGAGAATAAATGTCTTTAAACCTAAACGGTTTGATCGATTCTTATGAAATTTTTAATGCATATTCAGTAAGTCTGAGAATCGGCTACTATCTATTTTTCAAACCCCTAAGTGATAAGGGGTCTATGTATGTATGTAATATGGTACTAGCTGACCCGGCTAACTTCGTTCCGCCTAACAGTCTAATAATATGGTGTTAACTTTAGTTAAACTTAATGTAGGATTTCATTAATACTTTTCTTGCAAATACTAAAATGTTTTATTGCTTGCCATTGCGAAAGAAGAATGGCAGTTTTACACATTAGGCCTCTACTCTCTAGCGCCAATGTTGCGATACTGCATGTTAAAGGACTTTCTGATATACAACATTTTTTGATGAGGTGATCTTCAATTAAGATCAAAGCCTGGTTATGCATCTCATCATTCACCTCAAGATCGGAATTTCTTGAACTGACACGAATTACATGTAAAATGATGCGGTTTTGTCAACAGATGGCACCACATGCTGTTTGCATTCGTAAAATTAATTAATTTATTTATTTTTATTCGATAACTTATCGGATATTTTATTATTTATTCTGCTATTCGGAGCGGAAAAGAATCCACGAAAAAAGAGATAACTAACATTAGTCCAGCCGATCTTGAGTTATAAGTAGTGTAACTAACACGACTTTGTTTTATATATTTATGCCAATTGCACAGTCGTGATTCGAACGTACGACCTCAAGGTTCAGAGTTGTCCGCTGAAATACACAAGGCCTGTATAAATAAAAATAATACTGTTATTATCATAAAGAATAGATGAAAATTATATGTTGTAGAATCTATAAAGAGTATTTTTTATAGAGGTCCAGACGGCAAAGTGGTAAGCGTGGATGGTACTCCGAACCTTGATAATAAAGACTATAAAAAGACCCTCAAGATCACTTGGCTAGCGGATACTGAGAAGTCTCCACGTCTTGAAGTCTACTGCGTCTATTTCGACCATATTATTTCGAAGCCTTTGTTGGGAAAAGACGAAGACTTCAAACAATATATTGGACATCAGACTAGGGTAAGTTTTGGACTAATTTGAAGCAAATTCACCTAAGTTTTATTCATGTATTTGGAGCTTATTCACGAATCCCGGTGAATGATACTTTTCATATGAATTCAATACTTTCCGTTCAGTTTACCTAGTTTATCAGTGAACGCGCTGGTATTTTATTTTCAATAATTAAAAAGAAAATGTAGTCAGTTGGATGGCTATGAAAGATTCACAATAATATAATACAATTTTTAAAATGGTTATAAAAGGAGTCACCATCGGTATTAACTATTAACCAACAATGTAGAAGAAAAATTGGTATTCACTTAAGGTGTCCAAATGGCGAAAGAAAATTTTGTCCAAAGGCCAATATGGCGAAAGTTTAACGAAATATTGATTGGTAATTTTGGATAGTTTATTTTTATAGATAGGATCTAAAAGTAATAATAAAAATGAATTATTTCTATACAAATCGTAGCTAATATTGGATAAGATTTTAACTACAATTTGATCCATATACATTGCGGAATTTAGTAATACTTTGTATTATAGAAACAAATTAACAAACCAATGAACGCACTTTTTTCAACTGTTCCCGTGTTTGTTTGTAATGTACAGTAATAGTTATTCAAAGTCTGGATGATACAGATTTTCACTAATACAAGTTGTATGAACAATCCTGCTGTCCGAAAGGTTATAAATAAGATGTTTGTCCTCAGTGGGAAATACCAATGTTAGGTGAACCAGAGTTGGCTAAAGTCAAAGTCGGAGATGTATTACAACTCCAGCGCCGTGGCTTTTTCCGTGTGGATGTCGCATCTGCTGGACCTTCACCACAAACAGGAAGAGTCACGCCGTTGGTGCTGTTCCATGTTCCTGATGGTCATACTAAGGAAATGCCTGGACAGGTGAGTGTTTTTAATTTACAAAAGATTTAGAATGGGGAAATATGACGCAACTTTCCGTCGACGTGTTTCCCAACCAATACGACTATAAGCGATTTTTCGTCCATCGCTTAACATCTGATGAACCTTCTGCCCCCTGTTCAATAATAATTATTTAATTTATAACAAATTATATTATACAATATATGGTATATCCTATAGGCAACATCTAAAATCATAGGAATTGTCATAAATTTTATTTTGTATTTATTTTTACTTAAAATAAACTAATCTTAAATAACACACATATAATATTCTATTCTTTTACTTTTTTATGTAATATTAAACAAACGTGCCCCCTGCTCATCTGATGTTAAGTCATACCGCCTTCCATGGACACTCACATTGCCTTGCCATTTCTTTTTATATTATTCTATATTTGTAATTACCGTAAATCGTAATGCAATAATTTTCTTGTGAGCATATTTGTTATTATTATATTGTTACTTGTTAAATAGTTCTTTAAAAAACCTAAATCTCGTTAATGTCGGCCGCTAGTTAAACGGCCATGTTTAGTTGATTCTAGGCTGTTGATCGAATGGCTGATTAAGCTAGTTGGCTGCGACATCGACATGGTAACATATAAATAGTTGTGCGTTACGATCTTTTAACATGTAATATTAGTAGAAATTTTATCAAATTAAAAACAATTGTAAAGTTGAAGTTAATTGGAGCACATAGGTGTTTATACATGCTATTTTCTGCATTTAATCTATGTAAGCCTTCAATGTATAGTGTTTTGTGAATGTTAAGCGTGAAGAAAATGAAAGGTCGTGAATCGTGTCACAGTTGTGAGTGTGACTGTAAATTATCCACGTGTAAGTTGCTAATGTTTTGCGTATAAAATACTTAAATAATGATATAATTGTCTACTATTGTTATACAATATAAGTCTTTTTTCTATGAATAAAATCGAATTATGGCATAAATTCGTATTATATTTAGAATTAAATGATAAATTCTAATTAACATATTGAAATTTTACAAGTTTAAATTGCGTTTAATTATAACTTATATATAGATTTTTTTATTAAAATATTTGCAGTTTGGTCAATCGTATTTGTAGTAATTCGACGGGATTTGTTCCGTGCAGTTTTCTTTTAAATTTTTGTACGGTTCCTTTGTCATCGGAGTGCTTTGAATAATAGAGGATTTTAGTTTGACTCTATATTAACTAACTCGCGTACAACAATAAGAGCGAAATAATGAAATGTTGATTGCTGTGTAACGAATGAAGCAACGTAACAGTTGAAGAGGGTGTCTACCACTGGCTATCGGGGCGTAACTCCGACGATTTAGGAAATTTCCACGCTTATAAAAATAAGAAAACCTGAGTGGCCAAAATGTACTGCCTTGTCTGCCTATATTGTACCAAGTATGATTTATATTGAGTTTTATACAAGTACATTACAAAAGTCAAAAATCATTTATATAGGTAACACAATGTACACTTATGAATTTATATTAAACATTATACATATAATATTATACATTAAATGCTTCTAATTTTACAATATTAATACATCGCGTGTGAGTATCATAAAGGATGGGCAGGGCGTCGCAAACTAGGTATAAAGAGATCGTGTATAATAACGTTTATTCGTACAGGTAGTGCTATTAGGGGCAATAATGATATTGTAATGTAGCAACTCCTAGAATCTGCGCTAACAAATCACTGCGATGACGTCATACCCTGAAACGCGCTAACGCAGTATTTCCAATTAAGCATATACATTTAGCTATATACATATGTATATAGCTAAAACTTCTCGAACTTACTGAGGTTACTGGGACTATCAGTGGTTAGACTGTTCGAGGATCCTCCGTTTAGATTGTAGGAAAAGTACATCATCCTTCCTCCACAATAACAATTCTTCAAAACCAATATCCAACTCGGAATATGGTTTTTAAGTAATTAACATGGTTCGTTAGCACTTAGCAGTATTCAGTATTGTTAGGTTAAGGTATGAAAAATAATTTGGGTAATGGGTTAATCCACTTAAGTCAGCTCCAGTCCATTCGGCCTAAGGCTGTTCAAAGTTTAATAATAAACGATTTATTGCATATATTCTATTATTCTCTTACTATTCAATTGAGTAACCACTGTGATAAAAATAAATGTTTTTCTATGTTTCTCTAATGACAGCGCCGTGCGCGTATACGTTTAAATTGTAATATAAAGGTGATTTTTTTTTTTTTCAGCCAAAGTCAGTACAAACAACACAAGTGAAACAGGCACCAGCGGTTGATGCATCGCAGCTGAACCAAGAAATTACCAAGCAAGGAGAGTTGGTGCGATCGCTCAAAAGTGCGAAGGCTGAAAAGGCCAAGGTGGATGAGGCTGTTAAAACCCTCTTGGAGCTTAAAGCCAAGTACAAGACGGCTACTGGACAGGTGAATATTAAAGTTTGCTTTCTTAAGGTCAAAAACGTACACACTAATACTCATTTATACGGCTAGCGCTGCGGGTTAGAGTGAGAGAGGTGTAGCCGGCCTACCGCCGCCGTATGCGTAAGGCCCAGAACACACGGTGAAACGCAACTGCAACGAAACTGCAACTTCTAGTTACTTTTGAGTTGCATCTCAGATATAGAGTCCTTTGAGAGACCACACATGACGCGAACAGTTTGAAACGCGTTGCAAATCAGTCGCATTGAAACCGTCGTGTAGGAAACTCGCGTTGGGTTTCATTCATCGGGTTTGGCTTCTTTTGTACAAAATGGCTGACGACGAACAAAAAACATTACATTTGTGTTAGAAGTGGAAAAGTATCCTTGCTTGTATAATACCACACTATCAAGCTACTCTCGCAAGACTGAGACTGATAAAGCATGGGCAGAAATTGAAAAAAAATGAAAATGACAGGTGAGTTAGCTGTCATTTTCATTTCTGTAACCACAATTTCTTCGTCACTCGAAGAACTCATTATGCAGACGTCTGTTCTCAAAGAAAACCGAAATGATTGTGGTTGCAGCGTGTGTATAAAACTGTGGTTTCAAATCAATAATTTCAAAAGGGTTTCGTTGCAGTTGCCTTTCACCGTGTGTTCTGGGCCTAAGAGAAAGAGAAGTTAGACAGACTGGCGCCGTAACGCGTTACGTAACGAAGCAGTTTTGATCACTTCAAAATATGCAGAAAAATTAATTAGGATTACTATAACACTCTAAAACATTTTTCTAATTTATGTGAGAATTTTGAGCGAATATAACGAGATAAAAAGTGTTATTGTTCGACATTAGTAAAATACATTGTAACAGATACATATTTTAATTCTCTGTATTTTTTTGGGTGGGAGTAAATTTTCGACTGTTGTGTAAGCAGTGACAACATACCGGTTATATTGACCAAAATCAAAGGTCCCGGCTGAATTATATTGTATTAGGTTCTTAATAACAACGTTATCGGCTGTTACGACTTTCGGTTTTTACGACCAAATATGAGTAGTCCCTTCGATGTCGTTATAACAGATTTTCACTGTATATCATAGATTTTTTATACAACAGATATTAGAACTAATAAAAATGTATGTACTGTGGGGTATTTTCCATATTGCTTAGTATAGGCATATTATAACGTGGCTGTAGAATGATAACCTCGTATGTCCAGAGAACCAAACATTACAGAATTTCCATTTAAGGGCTCCCACACAAAACTGCGATGCGATGCGAATTCGCATCGCAGGAACTTGCGAATTTCTGCGATACGATTTAGTGCGTCAAACCGTTTGGTAGGGCGACCATTCCTTCGAAGTCAGCCGTACTGAACGTGTTTTTAAGAAGCGTAAGATGGATCGCAAAAAGATTATTGCACTTCTGTTATTGTTAAATAGATATAAAAGAAAAAGAAGATTCTGGGTTCATCCATTCATTACGATTATGAACTCTAATGGGAACTATTTTATTCAAAGGTCATGCGTTGAGAACACGACATAGTCGATTCTCGATTATTTTACCTTGAGCGTACTTCACTTAAAACTTTATATATAGAAGCCCACGCAACATGCACAATTATGCTCATAGAAGTAGTCATATGTTAGGCATTATGGCCGCCCAGACTTCTTTGTAAGCCATCATGTAACACAAATTGTTCGATCAAAGGAACGACAACATATGTGTCGAAAATCATAAAACTTATTCATTAAAAAATGCTTTGTATTCTATCGTTTTGTTGTTTTGAAATTAATTTACTTACCAATGTTTTGGTCTTTTCTTATCGATTGGTAGCTTTACGAAGTCTGTGGGTCAGACGTTAATTTACGTAATCTTGTAAAATAAATTTAAATTTATAATATTACATAACTTCAAATGTCCGAAAAAGTGATGTCCAAATCAAAATAGGTCAAAACACGATATTAGTCATGCTCATTATTTACCTAGTCGTACTGCACATTTTTGCACTGAAGTAGCATTTCTTCAGAGAAGGACTAGCGCCAAATTCTGAAGAAGCCTTCTTACACCACGGACGCTATTTAATTCGTACTTATATGCAGGAATTGTATTGATGTAGAAGCAAAAGTACTTACCAAGGTTTGTTTTTTCACTGTTTTCTTTGTCTTGGAATTTGGAGACAAACTTTCACAGCGTTGTTTCACCCGATCTTGCGTAATAAATTTATTTTTATAATGATCATCAGTTGTGTCCAAAGGACGGAGCTCCTCAATTTAAAATTAACAATCTATATCATATTCCGCCATTTTTCTCTAAAGCTGTCTCAGAGCGGACTAAAATGGTGTCACCAAGGATGACGTAATATCGCAGGAATGTGCGATGCGAAGCAGATCGGAAATTCTGCGTTGCGTTCGTGCGAATTCGCAGATATTTACGATGCGATGCGAATTCGCAGTTTTGTGTGGGAGCCTTAAATGACATAAGAGTCTAAGAATAAAAAAATAAATGGTTTTTTGACATACGAGGTTATCATTCTACAATGACGATAATTAAATTAATTACAAAGGTATTTTGGTATAGATATTAAACATCTTAATATTGGCATGAAATACGTAAAAAGATACGTTTATTTAAATTTAGTTAAAATAATTAATTTAAAGTAAATAATATCGACTACCGCATCATTCCCGTACAAGTTTATGAGTTTTAATCACTGTTGTCTCCTAACTACTGTTCTTTCGTACCACGTAAACGATTTTATTTCCAAAATCTTCCTTAAAAATAAACATTTGTTTATTTTCCCAAAATATCAGTGCTAACCTACGGCTCCATCTACATCAACATCACTTATTTTTTTGTTATTTTATATTAGGAGTGGAAACCTGGCGCAGCTCCAGCGTCGAATGCTCCAAAGGCATCTGGTGATGCGGAGAGTATCAACCAAGAGATCGTGAAGCAAGGTGATCTCGTCCGCTCTCTGAAGACCGCCAAAGCCGAGAAAGCTAAAGTAGAAGAAGCTGTCAAACTCCTTCTAGAGCTTAAAACTAAATACAAGGCAGCGACCGGACAGGTATGATATTCCCGTCAATTTATTTTTTGTTTTAAATTATAAATGTAAAGACTTCCAAAATATGCAGTTTCAATTCGTATCAGTAGCTGATTAAATAAAAATTTGTTATTAACGCTAGAGGTCTCCACCGTTTAACATCTCCTCTGAACGCCAATTTAATCAAGCCGCTGGGAAAGTTATTGGCCGTCGACGATTCGAACCGCTCTTAGTTGAATGTGGTCAAGAGGAAGGAGCTGGTACTGGGAAGCTCCCGCCCAGAGGTGAGAACAGTACTCCATGTGGGGCCTAATTTGCGCTTTATTTAGTTGCAAGCGATGGGCCGGAGTGAAGTACCGCTTCGCTTTGCTAAGAACACTCAGCTTCTTGGAGGCTAATATTACCTTTCCTTCCGAATGACCGCGAAACTGAACGTGGTTCGATATGTCAATGCCCAGTACCCGATGATGGCTATGGCTTTAAGGAGAGTGTATTCGAAGAGAGGAGTAGCGACAAAGCGAAAAAAACAAAACTTAAGTGTTCTTGGGGTTCATTTGGATTAAATTTAGTCGACCCCAGTCCGTGACTCCACGTAGCAGAGTTTCGACTTCAGACACCAGCCCGATAAAGACCTGCACGGCCAGTGCTAAGTTGCAGCATGTCATTGATATGCAGTAGGAAAACAGGAAAAACGTTCACGTATTTTCTAAATTTTTCAAAACAATTTTATGATTTTCGTACGTTGACGTATGACGACGACGATTCAAGAAAAGAGCGTACCAAAAAAAAAAAAAAAACCGGAAAAAACCCCCCGCACCCTCTGCTCGAATTACTTAACATCAGGTGAGCCTCCTGCCCGTGGCCCCGTTCTAACTATTTACGTCAAAGTCTCCGTACATACGATTTGTTTCCAAACTCTTCCTTCATATCAAATGTTCCTTTGGAAAATTTTCACGTTCTAACCTACCTAGGCTAACTAATGCCTTAAATAGACAATATTTTATATTTATTGATTATTTTAGGAGTGGAAACCTGGTGCAGCTCCAGCATCGAATGCTCCAAAGGCATCGGGTGATGCGGAGAGTATCAACCAAGAGATCGTGAAGCAAGGTGATCTTGTCCGCTCTCTGAAGACTGCCAAAGCCGAGAAAGCTAAAGTAGATGAAGCTGTCAAACTCCTTCTAGAGCTTAAAACTAAATACAAGGCAGCGACCGGACAGGTATGATATTCCTCTCAATTTATTTTCTGTTTAAGAGTATAAATGTAAAGACTACCAAAGAATGCAGTTTTAATTCGTATCAGTAACTGATGATAGAAAGATTTGTTAAATATTTATTATTAACGCTGCAGGTCTCCACCGTTTATATATTAAAAAATGGCGCTGCAACTCTTTTTTCTTGGCCTTATTTACTGTATTTTCCCCTTTGTCAGTTTTCGTTTTAGACAAGTAAACGATCAGTCGGTTTTGCCTAACACACGACTACGACTTGTGGGTAAATTCCGCTCTCATCATATTTACCTTCACTGTAAAAGCATGTCTTAATTTCTCTCCTAAAAAAGAAAAATCCATCGGTTCACAGTCGTTATTTAAATAGGCGACCACAATGAGTCGCACCCTTTAACCATGGGCCAGCTCAGCTATAAGTTGGAACGTAGATTTTTTCGGTCTATCTTGATATATTTTCAACTACGAGTTAAAAATATTGTAAAAAATGATTTTATTGTCAGGGAATATTTTTCACAAGACATTTAAAATTTCTTTAAGGAGTGGAAACCTGGTGCTGTCCCAGCATCCAATACTCCAAAAGCATCTGGAGATGCAGAGAGTATCAACCAGGAGATCGTGAAGCAAGGTGATCTCGTCCGCTCTCTAAAGAGTGCCATAAGGCCGAGAAAGCTAAAGTAGATGAAGCTGTCAAACTCCTTTTAGAGCTTAAAGCTAAATACAAGGCAGCTACCGGACAGGTAATATATTCCCATCTATTTATTTCCTAAAAAGTTTTTATTCGAATCAGTATGTCAAGATATATTTTTTTTAATAAATATTATTACTAAATTGTACACACGGAAAGAAAATTCATCTTTGCATAGCCGAGATTTGAACTCGTGGCCTCAGTGACTCTTTAACCTTGAGGTCATCAGCTTTAAGTTGATATCGTAGATTTTTTATCAATCTTGATATATTTTTAAATTTCGGGCTACCTTGCAAAACGTTTATTTGTCAGCGAAAATTTTCACAATACAAAATCTCTTTAAGGAGTGGAAACCTGGTGCAGCTCCAGCTTCGAATGCTCTAAAGGCATCTGGTGATGCGGAGAGTATCAACCAAGAGATCGTGAAGCAAGGGGATCTCGTCCGCTCTCTGAAGAGTGCCAAAGCCGAGAAAGCTAAAGTAGAAGAAGCTGTCAAACTCCTTCTAGAGCTTAAAACTAAATACAAGGCAGCGACCGGACAGGTATAATTTTCGTATAAGAAATGTTTTTCTTACAGTATAAGTATCGCACTGTAGATTTTGTTTGCAAAGTTTAACAAATTTGATTTCATCTGATACTGACAAATTTAATATCTATCAGCAGGTTAGTTTTGATCATAGTCTAGAGACATTACTTAGGACTTCTATCTAATAAAGTGAGGAAGGTGGTTTTAGTGAGATTGTTTTTTTCTAAATACGCAATAAATAACACCGTTACTGTATATTCCCTTTGCATTTTTATTTGATTTATTGAGAGGTATTTCTAGGATAGATGATAATGGAATAAGAGATTATAGAAGAAGAAAATCGGTTGTGCTTGAACCTTTGGTCTCGATCTCAAATTTTTTATGATCATTTATAAATAGGCAACTAGGTGATCAGCCTTCTGTTCCTAACACATGTATGCATAAGGCTTGGCAGTTTCCTTAATTTTTACAGAAATTATCGTAGTTTTATTCACTAGTATTACAGAACATTGAGCATAATATTAGTTGGCTGTACCCAGTTGTTTCACCCGTTGTAAATGTTACATATAAACAATACAGGCGATTAAATGGACTAATTAACAATTTTTTTTAATTCAAGTAGTTGAACTAAGATTGGAACATATAAATGAAATTCTTAAATTATTATAGATTTGTTTTTCTTTAAGCTTGATATTTAAATTAAGGAGAGATGCACACACCGGATTAAACATTAAACTTTAAATAAATGAAATATAAATTTTATAATTCTATATAAAAATATTTATTACAGGATTGGAAGCCAAGTGCAGCTCCTACGCCTGCTAAAGCTGCTGCTGCAGATAATGTTAGTGATATTTTAACAAAAATAACGGCACAAGGGGATAAAGTACGCAAGCTGAAAGGGGAGAAAGCTGACAAAAGTGTCGTTGATGTCGAGGTAATTAAACTCTGATTTTTCATTTTGTAGAAATTTCGTCTGACATTTCATAAGTGTTGCTACTAAAAAAGTTCTCCACCGAAAAAGGGACAAATTTGACCCATTTGAGGGCAATACAAAATAAATAAAGCTACGCATTTTTTATGTTTTACCTACAAAAAGCTAAATCTAAATATTTACTTACTTAATGACCAAATACAAAATTAACAAATATTTTAATATCACGAACAACATATCGAATTAACTTTAATTACTTTAATTTATTCTTTAGCTGGCATCACTGCCTACTGATTCCAGGTTTAGTAAACCTTTTTAAAAAAAAAATGTTATCTTTACTTGTGCGTTTTTTACTGTTTATGATGAAAAGGAACGTAATTATCACTCGCCGTTAAACCACTTTTAATCTGGAGCACCGCACTTAATAAAATGGATATTTGTAATCTCTGACAGATTAGAGTATTTACTTTTAGTAATTCTTAAATGAAACGCCAAGGAGAAAGTAAAGAATATAATTTGCTATTAAATCTGTTGACAATACGGCTTTATTATTATTACGTAATATTTTAAATATTTGGTTTAAGTTTTCACTTCTTAGATATTCGTCTTGCTTTTCTATAACAATAATTTTACTGTTTCAGGTGAAAAATCTACTTAATCTAAAAGCTCAGTACAAATCAGAAACCGGAAAGGATTGGACGCCCACTGCAACCCCACCAGTCAAAGCGGAAATTGTTAAACAGGTATTTCTAGTAATTCTTTAATTTAAATTTTATATTGAAATTTCTCACGTAAATTAACTAATTTTGGACATTTTTAATATATGTAATTTGATTGTTTAATTGATAATTTGCATAAAAAGTAAATGGTAATAAAATTATAATAAAAAAATCATGAGTACGTTTTTACATAAGTTAAATAAGATGGCGGTTTAAGCGCTGTTTTTGAGATAGAATTTGGTCCTAGGGTAAATTAAAAAATCAGCGGCGCTACAATCTTTTTAGGTCTGGGCGTCAGATTTCTGTATCTGTTTCATGATCATTTTTAAATCTAAAACGCAAGTAGGTGATCAGCCTCCTGTGCCTGACACACGCCGTTGACTTTTTGGGTCTAAGGCAAGCCGGTTTCCTCACGATGTTTTCGTTCACCGTTCGAGCTAATATTAAATGCACACATAGAATGAAAGTCCATTGGTGGAAGCCGGGGATCGAAGCTACGTTCTCAGGGATGAGAGTTGCACGCTGAAACCACTGGGCCAACACTGCTCTAGGGTGCTTTACTGTGAGCAAATTGCTCCTTTCCTTACGATAATTTAAGATTTCGACCGACATGTGCCAGGGATAGAAGGCAAGGAAGCAAACGCAATCTAAAACTTATATGGTAGCGCCACTGGATTATCATTCACAAAATACAAATATTTAACAAGTTTTACCATGTACACTTAAACTGCCATAGAGCTCGCGTGTGCGTTGCCGGCGTTTTAGGAAACGGTACTCGTCCTATATCGTATTTGTTCGAAAATAACCCAAGTTGTCAACTTAGATGGTGGATAAACCAAATCAAAGAAACAGGAGGTGGTGCATAGCAGAGAGTGTCACAGTGTAGAGGAAGGGCGGGAAAAAGGACACACAGATACCTAAAAGAAGATTGAAATAGAAACGGAATTAATAGTAGTATATGCAACTGTCATATAATAGAGGGTATTAAAACATGAATGTAGTAGTTAGTTTTTTGAAACTCGCCTGCGGCTCGGTTCAAAATAAGATCACACGAATGTTTTAATACCTATATTATATGCAGTTGCATACACTACTTTATTTAATCTCATGGCTTTAAGTAGCTACATTAAATAAAATGCAATATAAAAAAAACAAATTATAAATTATAAGTCTGTTATTGGTCTATTGGCTCGGAACCAGCGCGTTGCGCGCGCAGCGCACTCACCACAGATGTCTACTTAAATTGAATTGAAACCTCCTTGGTCGGGACACATTGTACTTTAATAATTAAAAAATTGTTTTAAAGCATTGTTTTGTTAGGAGAATAATGCTTTAATTGAATTTTTTAAATATCTTAAAGATGTATGTAGGTAAATAAAATATGTCAAAAAAAGTCAGTATTTCATTTCATAATTATAATATTACCGGATGAGATTATATAAAGGCTATTATTACCTCAAGTTAACTCTATGTACTTGTAATAAAAGTTTGTTTAATAGGAAACAATGAACGGTGTTAACGGTGAAGCATTAGCGGTGGAAATTGCAAAGCAAGGTGACGTCGTACGCGATCTCAAAGCGAAGAAAGCGGACAAGGTAGATATCAATATTTTAATGTTCAAATATTATAATAATTACTAGCTGCCCCCGCGAACTTCGTTTCTCCTTAATGTGATTTTACTTAGCCTACCTTTTTCGTACATACTAACATGGAACATTTTGCTATGCTACCCCACACTGTTCGGTTTTCCGGGATGAAAACTTTAGGTTTTTCTGTGAACTGTATATAAACCCGAGTTCAAGTCAGTTTTTAATTAACAAATAAAAAATAGGGCTTGAGCGTAAAGGGGTGAAAATTACAGGTTGTTTGTATTTTTGTATGCTGTATCATAAAAAAGTAAAAACAAAAAAAGTTATCCAAAAATTATATACAACTATGGGTTTGAAAGATAGATAGTATTCAATTCTCAACTTTTCGGAGGAGTATGTGAACGAACATTGTGATACGAGAATTTTATATATTAGATTTACTAGTAGACTCGGTGAACCTCGTACTCACCTACATATATTAGTATCTTAACAACAAGAATTTTAAAAAAGACCAAAGAGATTTTTAAGGGCATCTATAGAACAAAAAAATATATTTAATAAATATATAGTCTAAAGACTACGCACTTTCCTGCTAAATAATTATATTATTAAACTCATTTCAGGTTAACTAACAAATATAAAAAAGAAATCATCATATTAAGACAAAGTCAAAAACTTTTTTTTAATTAATGTAGGGTTCCTGGGTCAGTGGGGCTGTTTTAAATAACTTAAAAATATGATGTACACCCGTGTATTATCGTATGTAACCCGCGTTAAACAAATTATATAAAATAAATGAATGCAATCATTGTAAATGCTGAAGGGAGTGCCTGCGTCTGGCGTCTCTTGGAGCGTAACTCCGACGATTTAATCGCTACGCTTTTAAGACTAAGAAAACCTGAGTGAGCAAAAGCGGGTCGTACAATTAATATTAATAAATACAATTTAAATTTATAATTTTTCATATTGTTTTTTAACTAGTTTAAACAAACTTTGATCCTAGACGACCGTAGATGCAGAGGTAAAGAAGTTGCTAGAATTAAAAGCGAAATATCAACAAGAGACTGGCACAGCATTTGCAGCTGCTCCAACTAGAGATACCAAACCCAAAGAGAAGAAACCGAAAGAGAAAGAGATAAAGAAAGAGAAGCCGAAAGAACAGGTAAGATGCGTCGTTGCTACAGTAAATCAGCTGATTTACTATATTAATTTCATCAGAAATAGCTGAGCCCTTTACGAGATATATCGATATATAGCTTATCATCTATTTTACCGTAACCCATAAAGTTAACGATAATATTCTTAAATTAATTTAATTTGAAGTATCAATTTGAAGTGTCATATAAAAATTCGTCTTTTATCCGATTTCAAAAGAGGGCTTTTATGTGTGTGATCTATGAAGCCTTCCATACACGTGTGCTAAGTACGTGTATGTTTGTCCACAAATTTCTCGTAAGCCAGAAGTCACCGAAATAATCCTTGATTAAAGCAGGTGTCTGCCAGTCTGAGAAACTGTAAGTTTCATCGAAATTGTATAATTTTTGAGTATCCACGCATTTCTGGAGGAACGTACATAATGTAGGGACCTAGTTAAAAATATTGACATGTATTCATTATTATTCACATTAATAATATGGTGTTTTAGTCGCCGAAGCCTAAAGAGGAATCCTCAAGTGGGGTGAAGAAAATAACTCGACTCGGATTAGAGGCTTCTAAAGACACTGATCTTTCAGACTGGTACCAGCAAGTTATAACTAAAGGTATGTATTCAGAATAAGAAATTGTTTACTTTATACTACTTAGTAACTTAAATTCACGTACAATATATCACGTGCATTTTTGTTCGTGCGCCGCCCGCGTACTATATTCTGTTTTCTTACTACTATATGCTGAGCCAGTAAACGGAGCTGTAAGCGCGAGAATTGAGTGCATGAAAGAGAAAGAGGCGCACCAAACCATTGCCGTGACTGCACGCGCGCAGCTCGCAAACGGCTCGCGACCTGCACATTCATGATGATCAAAGTAACGGATGATATGCCAAAGACCCATTTAGGCTGCTGCCGCGACATTTATTGTTATGACACGAAAAGCAACGGCGTATGTATTAGGAGCAGGCGATTGCACCTTTCGATTACACTAGCTGACCTGCGCAAACGCGTTTTGCCATGCCGCTCTTTCTATAAAGGTTGACGTAATTTGGATTGTATGCATTTTTTAAGTATCCTACCAAAATAAAAATATGTATTTATCTAAAAATTTAAAAAAATTGGGTGGACTACCCTTAACATTTAGGGGATGATAGAGTTGTCCGATTCTCATTTATTCTTATGCACACGAAAATATGAGAATAGGTCAAGCCGTATTGTAGGGTTTAACCACAAAACCGCGACACGAGAATTTTATATATTAAATTTATTAGGTAGGGCAATTTTGATTTCATATATTTAGGATTATAATTTTTAATTTATTTTGTCTGTTTTAGCGGAAATGATCGACTACTACGATATCTCCGGTTGTTACATCCTACGCCCATGGGCGTATAGTATTTGGGAAATCATTCGCGCATTCTTCAGCGATAGCATTAAACGTATGGGTGTGAAGGATGTGTATTTCCCTATGTTTGTGTCTAAGGTAATATTTTACTTTGTTTCGCCTTGTGACGGTAACCATAATAGTTGGCTTTATAGACAACGGTTTAACTGTTTATATGAATATATTATCTTAAAATATTATATTAGCGGCCTATACGGATGTCACATGGATGGATATGTTTAAAAATAATTTGGAAATGGGCCGCCAAAGTGGTGAACAGCTTTTTGTTCTCGCGAAATAAATAACGATGCAAATACTTTGAAATGTTTATCTAATATTTATACTTATTACATATAGTATTAAATACATCTATAGAACAATTGTCCTATTTAAGACGTTTTTATGGGACTAGGCTAAGTGTCTTAACCGAGAAAACAGATATTGATTTTTCTCATTTGAATAAATTAATTAAATGTCACTAACATTTAAAATCGAGACTTAGTGCTTAACTGAAATTGGCATTAAAAGTTCCTACCCTCAACTTCAACATTATCTTTATAGGCGGCATTAGAACGCGAGAAGACCCATATAGCTGACTTTGCACCAGAAGTGGCGTGGGTGACGCATTCTGGTTCTAGCGAGTTGGCGGAACATATAGCCATACGACCCACCTCTGAAACCGTGATGTACCCGGCCTATGCGAAGTGGATACAGAGCCATAGGGACTTACCGCTTAAGCTTAACCAGTGGAATAACGTCGTTGTAAGTATATTTAGATTTTAGCTGAAAATTGTTTCCAATACATTTTTCTTTATTATTTATTAAGGCTTCAACATTATAAAAACACTAAGGTCGATATATATTCGTATCTTAAGACACAATGTCGTCTTGAGCAAATGTGTTTTTCATACAGAAAAAGGTGGTTTGACAGCACTTGAATACGGGCGAGTACAAAGACACCAAAATACTACCAAACGACCTTGAGCACGCATTAAAAAAGACGATTTAAAATAACAAAAGTGAATTCAACTTTAATCTCTCATTAAATAAATTCAAACATTATGAACAGATAGTTTATTATAGTTTTTATAAACACATGAAGTTAAAAATCGTATACTACATATAATAATCATATTGCAATTCATTCATAATTTATAGTTCTTCACTGGTTCGGCTTCACTATATATTTATTCCTGCTCAGTCGGCAGCTCATGTCTGAGCGTTGTGGTCAGTAAAGAAGCATCTGGAGCGAACAATCCGTTTCCACCGGTTTCTGTCCAGAGCCTCTCTAATCAGCCTCAGTGTACAGTTTTGATGACGACGAGTCTTTGAGTTCGGTCCATCTGGTTGGTAAACGGCCACTTGACCTTTTGCCTTCTGTGTTACCAACCACGATCAGTTTCAAGTTCTCATGTCTCATATAGTTTTTACCATTGTTTAAGATTAAGAGTGTCTTGGTAGCGATCGGTTCGATTTCTAGTCAATGTTTTTTTTAAATGTAATTCTGAATTAGAATTACTAAAGAAGGAGTTTAGTTTATATTACACTGAATTATAATATGTTCGATCATCAATTGTCAAGTTTATTGTTAAAAGCGATGGGAGTTCAAGCAACCGCAACCATTCCTGCGAACGCGAGAATTCCTTTGGCAAGAAGGACACTCTGCGTACCGACTTCAGAGCGAAGCAGAGGAGGAAGTGCTACAGATATTGGGTATCTATATATTTAGATAATATAATTAAATAAATAAGTTTTTCAACAAACTTTTTTGTTTCTATTTTTAATTTAATTTGTTTCTATTTTTAATTTAATTTGTTTCTATTTTTAATTTAATTTGTTTCTACACATTAACGTAAAACATTTAACAAAAATTTATTATAACAACGTTTCTTTAATATTGTTACATACATTTAAGTAAGTGGCAGTTTTCAAAGACTCAAATTAATCTTAAATTATTAAGCCGGAAAAACGAAGGACCTTTTTTCCGTGGAACTTCTTTTATTTTTTTAATTTTTATTACAGATCTATACGCCCGGGTATATGAAGAGTACTTAGCCATTCCAGTCATAAGGGGCAGAAAAACTGAGAAGGAAAAGTTCGCGGGTGGAGATTATACTACCACCGTTGAAGCATACATCGGTGCTAGTGGCAGAGCTATACAGGTAAAACGGAAGAATTTGAAGAATTTATACTCACCTTTTTTTTACAAGGAATACAATCATACTTTTATGGTATCCAAAGTTTCACTACCTTAAAGGCTTATAGTACTTTCAAACCTCCTCGTGTTGCGGTAAACACTTAAATTTAAGTGATTGCTTGTGTACGTTGTATCCCATAAACAAAATATTAAAATAATAGTTAAATTTCGTCACTAGTAATACCTTTTCTTACACTTTATTATTTTTTATACAAATTTTAATTTTATTTAAAAATTACAATTCTATATAAAAACTAGCTGACCCGGCAAACATTTGTTTTGCCATGTATGTTATTTCAAGGAAATATTATTTTAGTTCAATAAAAATAACTATCTACTATAATTAAAAATAGAGGTTGACCGTAGAGGGGTGAAAATGTAGGGTTTTATGTATTTTTTAATGGCACATTGTAAAAAAATTAAAAACAACAATTTCGTCCAGAAAATAAAATGTTAGGGGTATGAAAAATAGATAGTAGCCGATTCTCAGACCTACTGAATATGCATATAAAATTTGATAAAAATCGGTTGAGCCGTTTCGTTTAGGACTCTACTAACATTGTGACACAACAATTTTATATATAAGATAAACCCCGCAATTCATAAAAAAATAACCAGTCTGTCTATATGCATCGTTTTAACGTACCTGTCTCTTTTCATCTCGGGAATAATACAACTTGCCAAAAAAAAAGACGAAAGATGAATTAAGAGTACAATTAGGCGAAATTAGTTTTAATGAATATTAGAGTAAGCAATAACATATTTCAAATATTTGTAATAGATAAAGTTCTAAGAGCATACTCGTGTAAATTATCAATACTGAAGTATATAATTAATTCAGTAATATAATTATTAAAGTAAGTGATTGATTGAATAAATCAATTTTTTTTAGGGCGCAACAAGTCATCACTTGGGGCAGAACTTCTCCCGTATGTTTGACATTGTGTACGATGATCCCGAAACCCAAGAGAAGATGTTTGTCTATCAAAACTCTTGGGGAATAACGACGAGAACTATCGGTAAGTTTAAGATATAAACAAAAAAAATTAATTCTTGTCTAAATATTTATTTTTAATTGAATTTCGTTTGAAGCTTTAGAAACTTATTGGGCCAGTAATTTATAATTTTACCAACCCTATGGTTCTAACACCTACACGGCTTAATCACCACCTCCTAATATTGTAATACAAGACGAAACTTAAAATAAAATAATTGTATGAATTAAAGCTCGGTTATTTATTAAATTGAGAGCAATGTTGGCCTTGTGGTTTCAGAGAGCGACTCTATCTATCTGTACTTAGTATCGATATATTTTTGTATATTTTTATTTCCTAACTCAATAACAAGACAAGTGACGCTATATATATGTTGTTGGTTACTTAATTTCCTTCCTGTTGAGTAATGTCGACGGCGTGTGTCAGGCACTGGAGGCTGATCACCTACTTGCCTATTAGATTTAAAAATGATCATGAAACAGATTCAGAAATCTGAGGCCAAGACCTAAAGAGGTTGTAGCGCCACTGACTTTTTTATATTGTTTTATTAAATTACAATAAATAGATCAGTACCTTCTGAACTACGCTAATTTTGACATACTAATGAAAATAAACATTTATTGACTCCGTCAAGTTCTGACTACTTTAAGATTTATAATAGGCATAAAAATTAGCAAACATTGAAGAGGCAACATTGGTTTTGGAAATATTGACTATACCACTTACATTGACAGGTGTAATGGTCCTGGTACATGGCGACGACAGAGGTTTAGTTCTACCACCACGAGTAGCCGACATACAGGCGATAGTGGTGCCTTGTGGTATCACGGCCTCCAGTAAAGCTGAAGAGAGGAAGGAACTTATGGACTCTTGTCAGAGCCTGGTGGATGAATTGAAGGCAGCTGGTATCAGAGCCGATGGTGACTATAGGGATAACTACTCGCCTGGGTGGAAGTTTAACCATTGGGAGTTGAAGGTATGTTCTTCATAAGATATAGTGTAAAAGTATGCCCAAGGACACGCTCCATGCATACTCCGTTGGGACGGACGTTTGATACGAGATTGCCTTACCCCTTGAGTAATGAGACAGTCTTGTAAATGTCGCAGCCAACTAGCTTAATAAGCCGTTCATTCAACAGCCTAGCCTCTTAACTAAACAGCTTACTAGCAGGCTGAAAGATAAAGAAAGCCGTAGCGTTTGTAACATTATTTAATAAACTGGCTGGCTAATGCTAAGGCCATTCGTACGATAAAGTGTGTGTTGGTGTGTACAAATTGTCACGATTTAAACCTGTATCTTTAGTTTAGTAATAAGTCCTGGCTTTCTATTTTTCTTCATATTGCATTTTGGTTTCAATTATTGTTGAGTTACTATTTCATTAAACCATTGGAGGTGCGGGGTACCCTGATGTAGAGGTCTCCCTAGAGTTAACTTAGTTCAGGGGCTCCAATATCTGCTAAAAATGTAACTTGTCATTGAATAAATAAATTTGGATTTGAAGTGACCATGTGATAGAAATAAAAAAGATAAAACATTGACTTCAAAAAATTCTTTAAAAATTAAACTGCTCGAGTCAGTCACGGCTAAATTCTCATTTTTATTTTCCATTGTACTTGTTGTTTTTCATTAAACTTTGGAAAATACCAGCAAAGTTGTGGTTTGCCGACGCCATGTTGACAGTTTGAAGACCTTAGACTCTAGACGCTAGGTGGCAGAAAGTGGAATTAAATTTAAATTAACAGTCAACAGGCTAAGTAAGTAGTGAAACATCATCGATCCAAGTAATTTGCCTAGCTGTTTGATCAACCCAATATCTTTCTGGCCGCTAGTTAAACGGCTTTGTTTAGTTAAGAGGCTAGGCTATTGATTGAACGTCTAATTAAGCTAGTTGGCTGCGACATAAACATAGCAATAATAAGTGTTACCATGTCCACCAGAGAAGTAGGCACTGGTGGAATTTCAACTCTATATTATTTGTATGAAACTAAGCCTATATAACTTCCGTCTCACGTTAATGATAACGTAATAATTAATTTCATAACCTTTCAACTGTTTTTTCTAAATAAACACATTTTGCAAACTTGTTTTCAGGGTGTACCAATCCGTGTGGAATTAGGACCGAAAGATATATCACGCGGTGAGGTGGTTGCCGTAATTAGACTGACAGGAGAAAAACAAACCTTAAAGAGGAACACGGCGCCGACGCAGCTTCGAGAGAAACTAGTTACGATACACGAGGAAATGTTCAAGAAGTATGTATATGTTTTTTTAATGATAATAATAAAGATTATTAATTAATCCATGATTTGAGCAGTGTTGGCTTCAGCGTGCGACTCTATATTAATATTTGCTTGAACGATGAAAGAAAACATCGCGAGAAAATCGACTTGCCTTAGACCCAAAAAGTCGACGGCAAAATGGCACAGAGGCAGATCACCTTCTTGCTCATTAGATTGACAAATGATCATAAAACAGATACAGTAATCTGAAGCCTAGACCTAAAAATGTTGTAGCGCCACTGTTTTATTTTAATCCGTCATTTATAAATATACAATAATTTTTGAATTTATAATTAGCTTATTTGACACACTTATGAATACATATAGAGATATCTATCTTATATAACAATTGCACAAACTTTGTGGCTTTACATTAAAAAAAAACTAATGAGTATGTCTCAAAATATATGACTACTGAACCAAATGTTTTGCGGTTTCTACTCATAGATTCAACTTAGCAATGTAGCAACATATAGGCTGTAATATGTTATCGACATTTGAAGATGTTTCATGAAAATTCCTGATTGTTTAGTATGTTTATATTATAGTATAGAGAGAGTAACAAACTATTTTTCGTAGAGCAACTAAAGAGAGAGATGAGAGATTGTCACTTGTCACAAAATGGGACGACTTTACAAATGCACTGGAACGCAAGCACATCATTCTTTCTCCGTTCTGTGGAGATATACCCTGCGAAGACAACATTAAGAATGATAGTGCCAGGTAATGTTATCATTTAGAAGGCTTGTCATATTCACTTCAACATTTTATTCATGAACATACTTCAAAGCTGTTAAATTTTTATCTCATAGTATTTTTTTAAAAGTAATACTATTAAAATTCACTCAAACAGTGAAGGAAAACATCATAAGGTGACTTCCTTGCCTTAAACCCAAAAAGTCGATGGTGTATGTGAGGCACAGGAGGCTGATCACCTACTTGATATAAAGATTATATATATCAAGTATATTGTGTAGTATTTCAACTATAGATTGACAAATGATCATGAAACAAATACAGGAATCTGAGGTCCTGACCTAGAAGATCACTGATTTATCAAATTTTTTTTTACAGAAATGAAGATGATCAAACAACCGAGGTTAAAGCTCCATCTATGGGTGCTAAGTCACTTTGCATACCATTTAAACAGCCTCGTGAAATATCAGCGGATGACTGTTGCATACATCCAGCTTGTAAAAATAAGCCTAAATTCATTACTCTGTTTGGAAGGAGTTATTAAAGTCAATTTATATGATTTGTTACATATTTAAATAAATAATTATTTTATAATTTTTATTGACATTTTTTTATAAAGAAACCTATTATGTAATCTAAATCTCTTATTAATAGTAATATAAGCTTTTAAAAAAAAACAAATAAATATTTAAGATATAAAGGCTATTGGTATAATTTATTAGATTATGTATGCAAAAGTACTTCTTCAAGAAAATTAAGGTCTTGTCAGAATGAGGATTATTTTAACCACCACAAGCAACATTCAAAGAAAATTTTAGATAATAATTAATTAGTGATGAGAATACCATTACATAATATAGGACTAAAATGTGAACATACTACATACATAATAGTATCTAGATTCTAGAACAATTAAAGTAAATAAACTAATCATTGCTATGGAAGAGGTAACTCTAGGCCACAACCTGAGTCAAAATAAGAAATGATGAAAATCCGCCGCGAGATATCGCTTTAAAATCCGTCTTACGCCCTGACATCTAGGCAACTGGCAAGGCTACGAATAATTAAATAGAGAGACGGCTGCACGCAAGGGCGGTGTCGCACATGACCCAAGCAGTGACGTAACTCGAATTTGTACTTACGTTCATATACGGGTCAATATTAGATTTCATAAAATACGTCATATTATAAATTTTCATGTTTATACTCTACCTTATCTTTCTATCTTTGACATAAGAAATATAAAAACATACTAATCTATAATGAAAAACATTTTACCTAAATAGGTAGATTACCTAAAATTTCAAAAAACTTTATTTTATATGTACATATTATAGGAAGATTATTGAGAAACAAATTGTTACATTTGTTTGAAATTGCGAGAAAATTTGATTTGAACTAAATTTTTTTATTATTTTCTTTCTTTAAGTTTAGTTTTTTTTTACCTTTTCTTGGCACATACATTCATTTGCGCTTTTTCTATTTATTTATATATTTTTTAGAGCTTTTTGTACTTTTCTAACAAATTATTTCGATCTTCAGGTATTAGTTATATAATTTGGTTAGAGTTTATATTTGGTTTAGATTTTTGGTTGGGTTCGAGGATTACTATAAATTGTATAGGAACATGCGTATTTTTTATCTAATTTCTTGAAAATAGTACCCCCTAATAATTCCCCTAAATTTGGGGCAAAACCTAAGTAGGCATCAGTGATGGAAGGGTGCTGCTTGACGCACTCTTTTTTATGGTTACGCCTGCCTCCCCTTCCTAATCATTCAAGAATTTGTTGCTACAAATATTATTATATTATGTAGTACCATCAAGTATTGATTCTATCTGCCAATACCTATTAAAGATTTCATGATTTGTATCTACACTAGATTGATTATGTTGTAAAGATGTGAAATAAATTTTATCAAAACTTTGCAATAATTGAATCTTGAATTTTTCCTTAGATTAAATGATATGAGGCCACCATCCCACTATAGCCAGAATTTTTGGTATACATATTTATTTTTATATGAAGATTACTGGTCTTTAACTTTAAGTGTTTGATAGTACTTATGTTTAAATAGAGACAAAAACACAGTCTATTAAATATTTTTAATATAATTTCATTAAAAAACATTATTTTTGTGTAAAAATATACATATAGTATTTTTTGTTAAAATTATTCATTTTCTTTAAGGAGATCTTCAAGCAACTGAATTCTCTTTTTCTTTGCATTTAATAACAAAAGAAATTTACTATACAGGGTAGACTCCAGAGAGATTTTTGTGTCAGCAAATGCCTCTAATTCTTTTTTGCATTTTTCTAATTCTGAAGACAAGTTGCCACAAGTTTCTCTAGATTTTTTTATGATTTGCGTTAATTCCATATTTTTATCCAAGAGAAAATCTATAAGTCTGTTTTTAGGTTCTGGTAATTTATCTCTTAATAAATTAACCTTACCATGTTCTAAAACTGCAGTTGAACCTTCATACCTCCTTTTCCAACAAAAACTTGGTTCAACACTTGATACAAAATCAAATAAATAATCACTACTACGATTTCTCAAACATTGTCTCACATTTTTCTCATATATTTCTAAAGTTTCCTCAACAAGTTCTGCATAATGTTTAGCACTTTCTAAAGAATAGTTTCCATACCAACTAGATGTATTTTCCAACACCTGAATATGAAACAGATCATCTTCGTTGTGTTTCCAAAGAATCTTTATATAAACCTTCTCACCTTTTATTTCAAATCTTGATATGAAAGTATCTTCGCACTCCATAACTATTCTAAAGTAAAAACTTGAATTTAAGGATAACACGAAATGCCAACCCTTTTTTTATCGACACTTTTTTTTTATATTAAATTTGTTTAGTGAATAAACAAATTTAATCATTTTGAATTAAATATTTTATACAAAAAATAAATACATAATAATATTGATTTTCTTCAGAGTTCTAACCACAAAGTACTTTCAATTTCAACTAATGTGCACAACTTTAAACGGTTTGAAGCTATTTCTAAGCTAAGGCTGTTAGTATAAGATCCCGCTATACAACGACCTTCACCGAGATGCTTATTTAATGAAACATATTTTATATTAAATTTAATATGTCAATAAATATAATCCATATGGGTTGTCTAGCAAATTTCAGTCCAGAGTATGTTTAATTAATAATTTAAAAAAAATATTTTTTTAAACATTTCACCTTTATGATTATTAGATAAATTCTATACCAATCGAAATTCGAAAGTATGAAGCCCATAGAATATGCAAACTTTATGCTGCCCATTATTTTCCGGTCACAACTATCGGGTTACCAGGTATAAACAGGTAAATCTGTACTATAGGTCTACCAGAATCTGATGGCAAAAAAAAAGTTTAAAAATTAGCGATATTCATATGGCAATAAAAGAAAAATTTCATCTGTCAACTGAAATTTTGAGGAATTGTTTTTGGTTTGGCTTCAAAAATCCTTTAAAAAGTGATGAAAATGTCGAAGAAACCTCTTCAATCGCAAGCAAGACAAATTGTTTTCAATGTTTAAAAAAGAATACTTGGTCAACAAGATGCAGAACATACACAATCATCGATATTGAGCCATGTGCAAGCGTTGACTGGTTAGTAGGAGTGACACGTCTTGATACTTTGGTTTATGGGATTTTTCGTGTGTATTATATTATGTACTTATACTAAACTTTGGTTTATTTCAGGGGTTTCTTATACTACAAATAAACTTGAATAGTTTTGATTTAGAATTGATCAGAAACAAGATAAATGAGTTTTACACTGTTTCTTTCTCTCAAATAGGGATCGATGAATGGCTAAAATCTTGTGAACAAGATCGGTTAATTGAGATGCAGGAGGAAAGGTTTATCATAAATACTGCGTTGAAGACGTTTTTATGGCTGTGCAGTATTTGGAACCATTTTCAAGTACTTAATTAATTAATAAACTCATGAACAGAGTAATTGGAGGTTTTCATCTAAATTTCAAACCCCACATTCGCCACATTTTCAAAAATTATCCTTGTTCATTGGATAAATTTTTATATTTGCATGTATCACACACAGAATCAGCCGCTATAAGGGAAAAAAAGTATCAAAACGTTTTACTCCAATTTCCCCAGTATTGCTAGCGTAAATTTCTTTTTCCCTTTTTGCCATCAGATCCTGGTAGACCTATAGTATTTTGCAACGGTCTGTTTATTGAATGAAATTTAAATGAAATTAAAGATTATTTTATTCTGAACACGGTGGTATAGGGTTGTCTGCAAAAAATCAGTCCAGAATTGCGGCTGTCGAATTTAAAAAAGTAAAATATTGCTCCAAGTCCCATGCGATAGAAGAGGACACAGCATAGCAGCTGTTTAAAGTCCGCCCACTTAAAGAATGAGAGTGCGCATGCTATTTGGGCTTGGAAAAGAAAAGGATAGCGATGGACTCGTATAATTATGCATCATTTTGGAGTAGTTTATTATTTAAATAGAGAAATAGTTATTTAATTTTTTTTTAATCAATTAATTATTTATGTGTATATTTTTTATGTGACACTAAAGTATATAATATACATCTTTAGTAAAAAAGAAGGTTGTAGTGATTCATATATAATAATACCCTGATTAAAAATATTGATTGAAAAAAATTAAAAAACCTACTACATACAAATTATAAATCTATAAATGTAAACAGAGAAATTGAAATCAATTGAAACAATTGGAAAAAATTCAAAACCCATAAAAGTGAATTTTTTTAATCAGGGTAATCTTGCAAATTTTATTTTTATTATAAGACAAAATAAAAAAGGATGCGTGTACTTATGTACGCGCGTAAGAAGTTAAACTTCTTTGGCTTTCTTTATTTTTTTTAAATATTAAATAATTAATAACAAATATTTAACGTTAATAATATTTAATATTTAGTATATTATTCAATTATTAATTAATATTAATAATTATTTATTATTTTATTATATTATTCATTCAATTTAATAACTACGTATGTTTCATAACCTTTTAACTAAGTAACAATTGGTCTTTGTGAAAAAGCATTCCTAAATTTATTTGAAAAAATAATTAAAACTCCTTTATTTGTTTAAAAGGTAAATGTCATTATGGTTATTCAAAATTCTTAGCATAGCTGCTTAATTCACGCATATTCTATTTCCATCTCGCTCGCGCACGCTCGGCGCCCATACTGATAATTTAGTGTGACGGTGCGCGCGCATCGTAAAATTTCACTTTCATCAATTTTTCATATAGCGCCTAAAGAAGTATAACTTCAAAAACAACAATTAAAAAATTACTTCTATTTATTGTAAAAAATTAAAAATACAATTTTTTTTTTAATTATTCAGAATCCGAGTCATAGGACATAAAACTACGATCTTCAACTTCTGAATCTTCTTCGTCATCACTTTCTGTTTCACTTTTTTCGACAATGTCTTCTATCTTTAAAGGTGTATGATCCCCAATGAATCCTACTGGTTTTAAATATTCATCTAAGAACCGTCCGCAGTTCTCAGGCTCAAATTTCACGCATATTGGATCCGTTGCATTAAGCCACATGGAATTTACGAAAATAAAATATAAAATATATATTAGCTAAGATAATTTTAAATCATAATAATTTTAACAATATTTTACTTTTTAAAATTCGACAACCGCAATTCTGGACTGATTTTTCGCAGACAACCCTATACCACCGTGTTCAGAATAAAATAATCTTTAATTTCATTCAATAAACAGACCGTTGCAAAATGCTAGTACAGATTTACCTGTTTATACCAGGCAACCCGATAGTTGTGACCGGAAAAGAATGGGCAGCATAAAGTTTGCATATTCTATGGGCTTCATACTTTCGATTGGTATAGAATTTATCTAATAATCATACCGGTGAAATGTTTAAAAAAATATTTTTTTTAAATTATTAATTAAACATACTCTGGACTGAAATTTGCTAGACAACCCATATGGATTATATTTATTGACATATTAAATTAAATATAAAATACGTTTCATTAAATAAGCATCTCGGTGAAGGTCGTTGTATAGCGGGATCTTAGACCATGTAAACATTATACGATTCTTGATTGAAAGAGACACCTAATTTAAACGCATGTGCTTTTTTGCTTGGTAGTCGTTATATTCATTTATCAAATTAGGATGTTGGTTGCTTTTAAGCTTTTTAATACCAAAAAATTGAGTGTCGGACACATAGATTTGTTAACGTCAGTTTAATAACATTGTTCTTTAGTAACATTCTAATGACAAAATATCATTCACGAAAGTTTCCGTTTGCAAATAAAAATATATATATATAGGTATTTAAAGTTTTTACAATTTAAGTTTAAATACACTGTATAGTGCTTCCTATCTAATTTTCTCCTACGTTAAATCTTATGAATTTATGTGTCTGTCTCTTTTTCGTTTCATCGATTTTCAAATCGCTAAAGAAGGTTTCACTTGAAAGAAGAGTGGCGTTACAAATTCTAGGTCATGGCAACAAATTTCTTTATCTCTTTCGTTTTTTTGTTTATAGGCAAGTATGTGCTCGCTCATCTGTGTCAGACCGACGATTTTTAGTTAGTTTAGTACTATCATGAGAAAACTGGCGTGCTAAACACCTTACGATTTGTTATAGTGGGTGGCCAGGTAAGCGGTTATTAAAATAAGACTACATTGCAATTATTCACACACATATATATTCAGCCATGACAGGCGGTCCGAGACATACTGTACAGGAAACGGAAACACATAGACAACATTAAATCACAGATACGTAACATCTCCCTTATTAAGAAAAGAAAACATGGCATGAAGTGGAACATAGTACGTACGTAAGTATACATTTTTTTTTTTTTTTACATTGACAAAATTCTTACATACTATTAGACTAAAATAATGGTACGGAACATTGACTTGACTGACATTTTCAATTTTGATAGTTCCCACATTGACGTCTACTAAATTGACATAACTGTGTTTTGACAGCTACACAAAACAAAATTAGGTTAAAGACATTAACAATCAGTGTTGCCAACTTAGTGGATATTCCACTAGATCTGGTGGTTTAGATATACGTTTTAGCGGGCGAATTTTGGTTTTAGTGGCTAGTGGATTTTTCTAGTGGTTTAGTTTGTTTCATTCAGTGGGATGCTACGACATTTAACCACTAGCACGATTGATATCTTTATAGGAAAAGACGAAAACATTTACCTTATTAAGGAATATTTTGTCATTATGTAGGCAACTCTGTAAAATTACGTTGGTTATTCTCGGGAATTTCCCGAAACAAGTTTATGAATTTCTTAAATTATTTTGATTATGGACTTTATTCGTATGACTAATAGGTCAAATTTGATTTGAATTAATGAGATTTGTATGTGTTCGTTTCGTATGCATGCACAAAAATAGAAATACACAAGTCACAACACAGATACTTAGTAGTTTTGGTTATCCTATGCATCGGAGTGTTTGTTTAAAATTCAAGTTTAGTTTATTTTTAAAACAAAATGCCAAAAGCGCAATATACGCAAAAGTTCCGGGATTGTTGGTTACGGGACTCCCAATTAAAGGACTGGCTGCAAGTGATAGAAAGTACAGCTGGTCCAATTGCAAAGTGCAGATTATGTGGCTCTGTATTGAGAAATCATTACGGAGATTTAAAGAATCACGGATTATCGAAAAAACACTTGCAAAATTCAAAGGTACGTACGTAACTAATATAATATAAATTACGATGTGTCAAAAATTTATTTTAATATAGTTGTATTATATTATAAATAAGTTTTAGTGGTCTATATAGCCAACATCAACTTTCAAAGAATAAGTAGGCCCTTTTTAGAGTTCCGTACCCAAAGGGTGCCAACGGGGCCCTATTAATATGCCTCCGTTGTCTGTCCCTCCGTCTGTCAGTGGGCTGTTATCTCATAAACCGTAATAGGTAGAAAGTTGAAACTTCCACAGAATATGTATTTCTGTTGCCGCTATAACAACAAATAATAATAATAATAATAAATGAAAGGGGCTCCCATATATATGTAACTATAACTGACTGTCAAATATTAGCGATTACAAACTTAAAAAATTGCGGTTGGAAATTTGAATCCGTCATTGGATTTTTTTTCTTGAACTCTACATGCGCGAGTCCGACTTGCACTTGACCGGTTTTTATTTTACATCTGCTTGTTATAGTTTACATTCCGTTTCTTTTACAGATTATAGCTACGCAACCAAAGTTGCCTTTTAAACGAGAAGGCGTGGGAAAAAGAAAGAAGAAGCTAGGCTAGCATTATTTACAGCAGCACATACCAGCCTACGTGTAGTAGATCATATGGGAGAAGTGGTGAATCACATGCACAAAGAGGACGAAAAAATTCATTTACATAGGACAAAATGTTCTCAAATTATAAAAAATGTGCTATCACCCCATTTCGCTGAAAACTTAAAAGAAGATTTGAAAGATCAACCCTATAGTTTATTGATAGACGAATCGACCGATATTTCCGTTCACAAATATCTGGGAATAATAATCATTTATTACAGCTGCAGTCACAAAAAAATAATGTCTACATTTTTAGATCCTCCAATGCTGAACGAGTGTGATGCAGATGGGATTGTTGGTACCATAAAAGCGACACTCGCTAGATTTAATATACCTCTACAAAATTTAATGGGCATCGGAACAGATAATGCTTCCGTGATGACCGGCGTCAATAACGGTGTATATGCTAAACTGAAAAAGGATTTGCCGAGTTTAGTTTTGGTGCGTTGCATTTGTCACTCTCTGCAATTGGCAGTATCGGCAGTAACAAAGCAATTTTTACCGAGAAATCTCGAGTTTATTATTAAAGAAACATATGATTGGTTCAATCGATCTTCGTCAAGGCAAGCGGCTTACAAAGAACTATACAAACTTATAAACGACGGTCATGATCCATTAAAAATTGTACAGTCTTGTCAAACTCGATGGCTTTCTATAGTCTGCAGTTGCACGCATTTACGCACAATGGTTGGAACTGAAAACACATTTTAATATGGCCAAATTGAAAGAAAGGTGTTACACAGCAGAATTGCTGCATGGAATGTATTCAGATGACGTGAATTATGCGTACATTTCATTTATGTATCCAATTCTCACTGAAATTAACAGAGTGAATAAATTATTTGAATCCAAAGATGCAGATCATACAAAACTGTACGACGAATTGACAAATTTGGTTGATTCATTTGTTACCAAAATAGTACTGCCGACCCAGAAGGTAGACGTTTTTACGCAAAACATTAAAGATTTTGTTGATAAGAAATGTTATTTGGGGTACAGATTCGAATCTTTTGTGTCAACGATGAGAGAAAAAGGACTTCCACGGAATGAAGAAGAAATGATACGTAATAGGTGCATCCAGTTTATTGTGCAGTTGGTTAATGAACTGAAAAACAGATTGCCCGAAAACTTAAAACTCATGAAAAATATGAAAAGAATTAGTGTAGATTGTGCACTGTCTCACAATAAAGAGCCGATCACTGACCTGATCTTACATTTTAATAAAAATCAAGAATACATAGCGAAAGTTGACGAGCAGTGGCGTCAAATCCATTTACTCAAATGGATAAATACAAAAAATACCAAGGAATTTTGGTACGAGGTGCTGGATTTCGAAGACATTGCAGGAGAAAACCGATTTGAAGATTTAGCCACGTTTGCTATATCTAGCTAGTTTTACCGCACTCTCATGCTGAAGTACAGCGATTATTCAGCATGATGAATATCGTTAAGACAAAACATAGAAACCGAATGAAGCTAGATCTACTGTCATCTATTATGACAATCCGCTCAGGTTTAAAACGCGAAGGAAAGTGTTGCAATAATTACATCTTGCCAAATTCTGTAGTCCAGATAGAAATAGGAACGAAAGAAGTGTACTTAAAATCAGAAGGTATAGAGGAAACCGACTCTGCTGAAGATGATTTTTAACGATTTTGTATGTCTTCTATTAGTTGTTCCTCTCCCTCCTGGACCGCGGAAGCGTTTAGACGTGTGCATTCTATTTGTTTTATAACTTAAAAATCAAATTAAAAATAAATTCCGTGCGAATAAATTAAGGTGTGTACCAGGAGCGCATGAGTTGCGTGCAGTAAGTGCATCTGTGCGAACGGGACAACACTTGTGAGACAGCTTAAGTTGTACGCTCCGTCTGCGCGCATCATTGATACGCAAGCTTTGTAAGTTGCCGTAATTCATAAGCGATAGCGGGTAGCGGAAATTTATAGGGGGCTGGTCCAAGTTTATTTTTTCGTGTACTCTGGTGTCATCTTTTGTCAGAAATATGCCTCTTAAGCGCACACCTCCCAGCACCCCCACTCCCGAAGACTTAAAGGAAGCTAGGTTGAACGCGCCGAAAGCTTCTTTTTCGGGCTCCGCGCCAGATTTATCTAATGAGGAGCGAAGCAATGTAACTATGAGGCGCAAGCAGGATGAGTCCTATATTAAAAAATTCATAACCGAAATTAAGGATATGCTTGCTAAAGCAAACTCTCAAAATGAAAGTAAATTCACCTCCTTGCAATCCTCCATGAGAGAAATCTTGACACAAAATACAGAAATAAAAGACTCCATTGCTTTTGTCTCTAAGCAGTACGAAGATATGAAAGCTAAATACGAGAAATTGGAAAAACAGAGGAATGAAGATCGTCTGTATATTGATCAGCTTGAAAAGAAAATCGAGTCGCTGGAACGAACGTCTGCCTCAACTAAACTTGAACTAAGAAATATTCCTAAGATTACCGGTGAAAATAAGGATAGTTTATGTAACATTGCTTCAAAAGCTGCAGATGTTATTGATTTTCCCATACAGAAACAGGATATTAAGGATATTTATCGTACAAAAAGTAAAACTGGACATGGAGCAATTATTGTGGAATTGGGCAGCGTTATATTGAAAGATGGTATTATTGAAAAGGCACGCAAATTTAACAAAATGAATTCTGCTAACAGATTGAACACGGCACACTTAAGTTTGGAAGGACCAGCAAAGCCATTTTTTATTTCAGAATGTCTATCACCCTGCGGAAAACGATTAAATTATCTGGCTCGTGCATTTGCTCAGGAAAATGGATATAAATTCTGCTGGACCTCATTTGGAAGAACCTACCTGAGACAAGATGAAGGTAAACGGCATATTAGAATTGATAGTGAGGGTGATTTAAATAAACTTCGTCTAAAACAATGACTTTTGAGGCCCCCAGGAAACTCCGCCGGCCTACGATAACTTTCCTGTTTGTGAAAATCCGGCACTTAATTATTGTTTTTATAGATATTATTTTATTTTTTTATATATTATATTATTGTTTTTCTTTATATACATACTTATACTCTGTTCATTGTATTGTATTTTACATAACTAAAAAATTATACATTCTTAGTCTAGTGATCATGTTGAAATCGAGATCTTATCTTTGTAAAAATGTTAGCATTTCTCAGACACGAGTAGCTGCGACAAAAAGCTTAATATTTTACAAATGGCTAGATTTACTGATAATATAAATAATGATATTGATAATATAACAGTGGCAACTGCCTACAGTTGTGATATAAAAAATTGTAATGATTTAGTAAAAAAATCAGGAAACTCCCTAAAAATTATAACACAAAATATCCGTAGCGTTTACAAAAATATTGATGCATTCTTGGCCCATATAGCTCGTCTGTACTTTGATCCAGATATAATAATTTTAACTGAATGCTGGTTAAACGACAATAAACCCATACCCAGTCTCAAGGATTATAATTCTTATTTCACAAAAAAATGCTTAAATCAAAATGACGGTATTATAATTTATGCTAAACAAAATATAAATTGCGAAATTGAAGAACCTAATCCTAAAGATGCTAACTTTCTGCTAGCTAAAATAGTACCAGATATTGTACTTTTAGCTATTTATAGATCACCATCCTTTTACTACACTGAGCGCTTTTTGAATGCTTTGAATGATATTGTTAAATCTATATCATCTAAGAATATATTTTTAATAGGTGATATAAATATCGATATAAAACCTGGAAACGGTGACAGAAACAGTAACTCTTACTTAAATTTAACCAGCGAATTGGGTTTTCTGCCAGGCCACACATATCCAACACGATTAAGCAATTGTCTCGATCATGTAATGGTTAAAACTGTTTTACAAACTAGTGTTATAGTGATAAATTCCACCGTAACTGATCACGACTCTATTCTAATAAATCTATCCCTTAACAGTAAACGGACTAATACTCAGTGCCCTTCTATTGTTGAAAGAGTAAATTTTAGTGAAGCTATAAAATATGTTGAATTGGCTGATTTTACTTTTATGACTAACAAGCAAGACGCCGAGTCTGCTGCGACTCGATTTGTTGAAATTCTGTCATCTGCTATTAAAGCTAACACTGAAAAAGTCCGTGTACCCAGGCGCAAAAAATCTCTTAAGCCCTGGATGACTCCGGGCCTACTTCGCTGTATCCGTCACCGGGATAAACTGCATCTTAATTTAAAAAGGGACCCCCAAAATGAAATTCTTAAAATAACCTATAAAAGGTACAGGAATTTTTGTTGCTCATTACTTAGAAAATTGAAGCGCGAACACGATAAATTCTTATTAAAAAGTGCAAAATCAAATAAAGAAACCTGGGCTGCAATAAAATATGTCACCGATAGTTCAAGTAAAAAATCTTCTGCCGATGAGTTAATTAGGAATTGTAACGTATTGGATGCGGTTGAGGACATAAATAGTTATTTTTCTAATGTTGGTAGAGAGCTAGCTGAAAAACTTACAGGGTGTAAGTATAACTACAAATGTACAAGATCAAATTGCTTGACTAACTCCTTCGTACTAATGCCACCAGATGAGGCTGAGGTGGAATCTCTCATCTTAAGCTCAAAAAATGATTGTGCCACTGGTTGGGACTCTATACCAGCTCGATTTCTAAAAATGGTAAGACATGTCATTGTATCGCCGCTTACTATCTTGTTTCAAACATGTGTGAGGGAAGGCTGCTTTCCAAAAGTCTTTAAAAGGTCTCTCATTACTCCTGTTCACAAGGGTGGGGCACGGGATTGTGTTGCAAACTACAGACCGATTTCTGTGCTTACAGCACTATCAAAAATCCTAGAAAAGATGCTTAACGTGAGGTTAATACAGTTTTTAAATCGGTACAATATTCTGTCCAGCTCACAATTTGGTTTCAGAATGGGTATGTCAACAGAAGACGCTGTGGGTAGCTTGGTTGAGTTTGTCACAGAAAAACTTGACAGGAAAAAAAAGTGCCTTGGTGTCTTCCTCGATCTTGCCAAGGCATTTGATACCGTCTCAATTCCTATACTTGTGGACAAATTGGAGCGAATTGGAATAAGAGACTCAGCCCTACTTATTTTTAAAGATTTCCTTAGTGGTCGGGTGCAAAGGGTTAAGATTAATAATTATATTAGTTCCGACGCAAATGTAACTTTTGGAGTTCCGCAGGGCAGTATTCTTGGTCCAAGTCTTTTTCTTATTTACATAAACGACCTATGTAATTTGTCCCTAACTAGTTGCAGGTTGTTTACCTATGCCGATGATACGGCTATAGTTTTTTATGGGGACACCTGGACCGAGATACAAAATATTGCCGAAAGCGGACTGCAGAAGGTGGCTAGATGGCTCAGGGAAAATTTACTTACTTTAAATATTTCTAAAACTTCGTATATTCAGTTCCAAACTATTAATTCCCATATGACTGATATTAATCTTAAAATACACATATGTGTCTCTGAGCGAAATTGTACTTGCATTAATATAACAAAATCCAATACCATTAATTACCTCGGTATCGAATTAGATAATAAATTGAGTTGGCTACCTCACATTGAGATTATAACGGCACGCACGCGAAAACTAATCTGGACATTCAAAAAATTACGTTATGCCGCGGAATTTGAACTACTCCGCACTGTTTACTTTGCCTTAGTAAAATCGGTTATTGGATACTGCGTGAGCGTGTGGGGTGGAGCGTGCAAGTCACATCTAATTCAGCTTGAAAGAGCCCACAGATCTTTACTAAAAGTAATGACTTTCAAACCCTTCAGATTTTCAACCACACTTTTATATAAACAGTGTGAGCTCCTCAGTGTTAGACAGTTATTCGTCTTTAATATAATAGCCAAACAACATGTCCATACCCCTTATAACCCAGAGGTTTGCAGTAACAAACGCTGTATACCAAATGTACTCCCCACAGCAAAATTCCGTACTACCTTCGCAAGGCGACAACGAGCATATCTCTCAGTCTTTCTATATAATAAAATAAACAAAAAATTAAATTTCTACCCTCTTTCACTACATGACTGCAAATCAATTGTTAAGACTTGGCTTTTGTCCTTAAATTATGAGGAAACAGAAGATCTATTTAACTAACATGCTACAATAATGTTTTAGTTACTTTGATTCATTAATTATGTGTATAATTTATATATTTATACTAGTGTTACATATACCCATATGTAAAATGTATAATTATGTATATTTATGTATTATGTATATTTATGTATTTTAGTATTTTATGTGTATGTACCTATTTTATTACCTATTATATTCATTGTAATTTATACTGAAACATTTTTTTCAATATATGTTATTTTTGTTTAAGTATATTATGTGTAACAGGATAATTAGATGTAATATCTGGAATTTACAAATGTCTATAAAAAGTATTGTCTTGTAAAATTTTGAATAAGCTCTCTTGACACTTGTTACGAATTATATTGGGAGAAGCCACTGACTCCTGAGATACAGGCACTAAAGCCTAGTTTAGGTGTCAGAGTCTTCATAGGATTTCTGTAATTACAAATATGTCAATAAAGATTATTATTATTATTATTATTATTATTATTATATTATTATGTTTTGTAATGAAAATAAACTAATTTTATAATTCAATTTACAATATTGTTCTTTTACTGTCAAAAAATATATCCTAGCTTTATGCCTATCCATCTAAAGTAAAGAGTGACATAGACTACTGTTAACTTCAGTAAAACATGTGTTTCCCGCGGTAAAAACTAAAAAATAGTGCTCGCGGGCTGCTTGCCTAACCTCCTATCTGCGGACATAAAAATCATATCGATCCTATATTTCCTTTGAGCGTAAAAGAAGGATAAATAAACAAACACACTTACATTTATAATATTAGTTAGTGTGGATATTAGTGGTTTTCTGGTGGGTTGCGACGGCAAAATTGGTGGGTTCGTTAAAATTAAGTTGGCAACACTGTTAACAATACATTTACAAGCTGCGGCAACACTTGGCAAAGTGGTTCGGCTTGTGGCAGTTGTTACAGATGACTCCCATGGCTGGACATTTTGTACGGTGAACTTGACCACATCTGGAGCAGTTCTTGGATGACTGTTTAGACTGATGTTCTTGACTGGACGATGAAGCATCGTGACGACTAAGACTTTCTTGACGGCTATGACTTCTTTGACGATTATGACTTCTTTGACGATTATGACTTCTTTGACTGTGACTCTCTTGACCACGTTTTGTTAGACGACTGTGACGTGATTGACGACTGACGACACTTACTTCATGGCTTGATAAGGCTTTGGCCTCTAACCTTGTATTTCTTAGCGTTTTAGCGAGACTGACGGCTGCATCAAACGAAGATGGTGGTAAAGATGTGAAAGAGAAGTACCTAAATTTGGGGTGAGGGGGAGGGGGAGGGGGAGGGGTGTAGTAATCACCCCCCACAAGTTTTGGGTGTCGGAAACCAAAAAAAAAAAAAATTTTTTTTTTTTTTTACAGTACTTAATCTGAAAATGATCGCAAGAAATCAGTGTCTAGTATATATGTAAAGCCAAGTTTTAAAAAATGATAATAAAATAACGCACATTCACGTAAAAAGTAACACAGGTTATTTTAAAAAAATATTAATATACTAACCTAAGATGTCCACTATTTTTAGACGCCATTCGCACACGAAATTTGAAAATGATCGCAAGAAATCAGTGTCTGTACTAGACATATATTACAGACAGTATATAAAGCCAAGTTTTAAAAAAATGCTAATAAAATAACGCACATTCACGCAAAAATAAAAAACCTAAAAAGTAACGGCTTTTTAACTTATAATTTGCACTTGATCACTGTGAACACACACTGTTCTGGCAAAATCCAAATTCGAAATGGCCGATTGCGTTTATACTTTAAACAATGAATAGTAGAGAATAGAGATGTGAAAAATAATCTATTCTGTGAAAGTGAAAAAATCGATTATTTTAGTATTCGATTTTAATCCGATTTTAAATCCGATTTTGTTTTCGATTTTGAGTTTCAGTTGAACAGTTATTTAAAAAAAATATTAATATACGGTTAGTATATTAATATTTATATAACCTAACCAATCTAAATAATATTTATTTTTGTGGACAGCTCCAATCTAAATAGTAATTGTTTATTCAAGCCTCGGCTTCTCGGCGTCCTGGTCGCCTTCGGCGACCAAATATTCATATACTAACTCTAACCTAACCAATCTAAATAATATTTTTTTTGTGAACAGCTCCGATCTAAATAGTAATTGTTTATTCAAGCCTCGGCTTCTCGGCGTCCTGGTCGCCTTCGGCGACCAAATATTCATATGCTAACTCTAACCTAACCAATCTAAATAATATTTTTTTTGTGAACAGCTCCGATCTAAATAGTAATTGTTTATTCAAGCCTCGGCTTCTCGGCGTCCTGGTCGCCTTCGGCGACCAAATATTCATATACTAACTCTAACCTAACCAATCTAAATAATATTTTTTTTGTGAACAGCTCCGATCTAAATAGTAATTGTTTATTCAAGCCTCGGCTTCTCGGCGTCCTGGTCGCCTTCGGCGACCAAATATTCATATACTAACTCTAACCTAACCAATCTAAATAATATTTTTTTTGTGAACAGCTCCGATCTAAATAGTAATTGTTTATTCAAGCCTCGGCTTCTCGGCGTCCTGGTCGCCTTCGGCGACCAAATATTCATATACTAACTCTAACCTAACCAATCTAAATAATATTTTTTTTGTGAACAGCTCCGATCTAAATAGTAATTGTTTATTCAAGCCTCGGCTTCTCGGCGTCCTGGTCGCCTTCGGCGACCAAATATTCATATACTAACTCTAACCTAACCAATCTAAATAATATTTTTTTTGTGAACAGCTCCGATCTAAATAGTAATTGTTTATTCAAGCCTCGGCTTCTCGGCGTCCTGGTCGCCTTCGGCGACCAAATATTCATATGCTAACTCTAACCTAACCAATCTAAATAATATTTTTTTTGTGAACAGCTCCGATCTAAATAGTAATTGTTTATTCAAGCCTCGGCTTCTCGGCGTCCTGGTCGCCTTCGGCGACCAAATATTCATATACTAACTCTAACCTAACCAATCTAAATAATATTTTTTTTGTGAACAGCTCCGATCTAAATAGTAATTGTTTATTCAAGCCTCGGCTTCTCGGCGTCCTGGTCGCCTTCGGCGACCAAATATTCATATACTAACTCTAACCTAACCAATCTAAATAATATTTTTTTTGTGAACAGCTCCGATCTAAATAGTAATTGTTTATTCAAGCCTCGGCTTCTCGGCGTCCTGGTCGCCTTCGGCGACCAAATATTCATATGCTAACTCTAACCTAACCAATCTAAATAATATTTTTTTGTGAACAGCTCCGATCTAAATAGTAATTGTTTATTCAAGCCTCGGCTTCTCGGCGTCCTGGTCGCCTTCGGCGACCAAATATTCATATACTAACTCTAACCTAACCAATCTAAATAATATTTTTTTTGTGAACAGCTCCGATCAAAATAGTAATTGTTTATTCAAGCCTCGGCTTCTCGGCGTCCTGGTCGCCTTCGGCGACCAAATATTCATATACTAACTCTAACCTAACCAATCTAAATAATATTTTTTTGTGAACAGCTCCGATCTAAATAGTAATTGTTTATTCAAGCCTCGGCTTCTCGGCGTCCTGGTCGCCTTCGGCGACCAAATATTCATATACTAACTCTAACCTAACCAATCTAAATAATATTTTTTTTTGTGGACAGCTCCGATCTAAATAGTAATTGTTTATTCAAGCCTCGGCTTCTCGGCGTCCTGGTCGCCTTCGGCGACCAAATATTCATATGCTAACTCTAACCTAACCAATCTAAATAATATTTTTTTTGTGAACAGCTCCGATCTAAATAGTAATTGTTTATTCAAGCCTCGGCTTCTCGGCGTCCTGGTCGCCTTCGGCGACCAAATATTCATATACTAACTCTAACCTAACCAATCTAAATAATATTTTTTTGTGAACAGCTCCGATCTAAATAGTAATTGTTTATTCAAGCCTCGGCTTCTCGGCGTCCTGGTCGCCTTCGGCGACCAAATATTCATATACTAACTCTAACCTAACCAATCTAAATAATATTTTTTTTGTGAACAGCTCCGATCTAAATAGTAATTGTTTATTCAAGCCTCGGCTTCTCGGCGTCCTGGTCGCCTTCGGCGACCAAATATTCATATGCTAACTCTAACCTAACCAATCTAAATAATATTTTTTTTGTGAACAGCTCCGATCTAAATAGTAATTGTTTATTCAAGCCTCGGCTTCTCGGCGTCCTGGTCGCCTTCGGCGACCAAATATTCATATACTAACTCTAACCTAACCAATCTAAATAATATTTTTTTTGTGAACAGCTCCGATCAAAATAGTAATTGTTTATTCAAGCCTCGGCTTCTCGGCGTCCTGGTCGCCTTCGGCGACCAAATATTCATATACTAACTCTAACCTAACCAATCTAAATAATATTTTTTGTGAACAGCTCCGATCTAAATAGTAATTGTTTATTCAAGCCTCGGCTTCTCGGCGTCCTGGTCGCCTTCGGCGACCAAATATTCATATACTAACTCTAACCTAACCAATCTAAATAATATTTTTTTTGTGAACAGCTCCGATCTAAATAGTAATTGTTTATTCAAGCCTCGGCTTCTCGGCGTCCTGGTCGCCTTCGGCGACCAAATATTCATATGCTAACTCTAACCTAACCAATCTAAATAATATTTTTTTTGTGAACAGCTCCGATCTAAATAGTAATTGTTTATTCAAGCCTCGGCTTCTCGGCGTCCTGGTCGCCTTCGGCGACCAAATATTCATATACTAACTCTAACCTAACCAATCTTTAGGCGTCGGGACGTGACGACCCCATCGCCCACTGGTGAAATAACCTGTGACAGAGGTTATTTCATCAGCGCAATCAGTCAACCCCTTCCTAGTGGGAGTGCCATGCTGTTGCCTTCGGGCTTCAGCCAAATGGGCAGGCACGACCGGGGCAGTACCACTGTCTCTCAGAAAACCGGCGTGAAGTGATGCAAAAGGTTCGCCTTCTTGTACTCGCGTTTCGTGCGGTGAGAGAGATTCCCGGAGCCCATCCCCCCCACACACACAAGAAATATGAAGGTGCAGAAAAAACAGAATCTACCCCAGGGGGTACCACACGCGCTCGCGGTGGAGAATCCCCCTCTGGGCGTCCACCACCGGGACACTCAGCACCCGGTGGTGGACGCACAGGCTGCCCTTCGTATTCTGGGGGGGCAATTCTGCGCTCTACAAAAATAGTAATCGTCCTCGGGGCAAACGGAGCAATTATACAAAGGCACCCCCGTCCACACTCGCCGTGGACTTCACAAATGTTAGGGGGCTTAATTCTAACATCAACGCTGTCCACTATCATCTAGAGACTGCGAAGCCGGCCTTGCTCTTTCTTACCGAGACTCAGATATCCTCCCCGGCTGATACTTCCCACCTATCCTACCCGGGGTACAAATTGGAACATTCATTTGTGCCGCGGGCTGGAGTTTGCGTGTACGTCAGAGAGGATATCTGTTCTCGTCGCCTCGGGACGCTTGAAGGAAGGGACCTATCTAACCTCTGGCTGCGCGTAGACTGCGATGACCATCCGCGATTCTACGCATGCCTGTATAGGTCCCATAGCGGAAATACCGAAACTGACCGACTCATTGAGCACATCCAAATGGCTACAGATTCCCTGCTCGAAAGGGTTCCTACCGCTGAAATCGTGATACTTGGCGATTTTAACGCCCACCATGCCGATTGGCTCGGCTCTGAAACCACCGATCACGCGGGAAGATCCTTTCACGACTTTGCTTTAGCCTACGACCTGACACAAATGGTCCCTGCGATTACGCGAATACCAGATGTGGATGGTCATAAACCCTCTTTGTTGGACCTTCTGCTGACTTCTCATCCGGAGAACTATCAAGTCTCTGTTGACCCGCCATTGGGTTCATCAGATCATTGTGTGGTCCGGAGTACTGTGCCATCTACGCGCCCTTCACGGCCCCGCTTTATGGGTTGTCGCCGTATTTGGCACTATAAGTCAGCAGATTGGGACGGGATGCGGTCTTTCTTTGCGTCCTACCCTTGGGGGCCTATGTGCTTTTCGCCGGAAGCTCCAGATTCCGTCGCCGCCTCTGTCGCCGAAGTGGTTCTGCAGGGCATGGAACTCTTTATTCCATTTTCTGCGGTGCCGATCGGTGGCAAGTCTCAGCCCTGGTTTAAACGTTCTTGCAAGGCGGCCTCGCGTCGAAAGCGAGAATGCTTTAAGGCATGGGCGGAAGCGGCGAAATCTTGTGATGCCAATACCAGCGAACTTAAAAAAGCATATAACTCAGCCTCCAGGTCCTTCAAACGGGAAATCACTAAGGCAAAGTCAGAGCACATTGCCAGATTTGGCGAGAGATTGGCCCAACTCCCATCAGGGACTCGAGCCTTCTGGTCTCTCGCCAAAGCTGTCCAAGGGAATTTTTGTCAGCCCGCCATTCCGCCACTGCACAGGAGGATGACTCTCTGGCCCACACTGCGAAGGAGAAGGCTGACCTTTTGGGCTGTCTCTTCGCGTCTAACTCGACTTTGGATGACCGAGGGAGATCACCACCGACCATTTCGCGGTGTGATTCTTCGATGCCGGAAATCACATTCCGGCAACGTGCTGTCCGCAAAGCACTATCTTCCTTGGACATTCATAAGTCGAGCGGGCCGGATGGTATCCCCCCAATTGTGCTGCGTACTTGTGCTCCTGAGTTGGCTCCGGTCTTAACGCGCCTTTTCCGGTACCTGTACTCGCTCGGCACTGTCCCGAAGTGCTGGAAGACCGCTTTGATACATCCGATCCCTAAAAAAGGCGATCGCTCTGATCCGTCCAACTATCGCCCAATAGCTATAACCTCCTTGTTCTCCAAAATAATGGAATCCATTGTTAATTGCCAGCTCTTGAGGTATCTAGAGGGCCACCAGCTGATTAGCGATTATCAGTACGGCTTTCGTCGTGGTCGTTCGGCTGGTGACCTTCTTGTATACCTTACACATAGATGGGCAGAGGCAATTGAGTCCAAGGGGAGGCGCTAGCGGTTAGTTTGGACATAGCGAAAGCCTTCGATCGGGTGTGGCACAGAGCACTGCTCTCGAAGCTTCCAGCCTATGGGCTTCCCGAGAAATTACGCAATTGGATCTCCAGCTTTCTGGCCGATCGGAGCATCAAGGTCGTCATCGACGGAGCATGTTCCGACCTAAAACCCGTAAACGCTGGGGTCCCACAAGGCTGTGTTCTATCCCCGACCCTATTTCTTCTGCATATCAATGATATGTTGAAACTTAGCAACATTCATTGCTATGCGGATGACAGTACTGGGGATACTTTTTACACTGGCCGGGCAGGTATTTCTCGGGCAGTTGTTGATGAGTACCGGAACAAACTTGTGTCTGAAGTTGAAACTCTACTTCGTGGAGTCTCAGATTGGGGCAGACAAAACCTAGTCCAATTTAACCCCAAGAAGACACAAGTTTGCGCGTTTTCCGCTAAAAAAACACCCTTTGTCGCTACTCCTCTTTTCGAAAACACTCTTCTTAAAGCCACAGCCAGCATTGGAATACTTGGCGTTGACATATCGAGCGACGTTCAGTTTCGCGGTCACTTGGAGGGAAAGGCTAAATTAGCCTCCAAAAAGCTTGGTGTGCTCAGTAAGGCGAGACGGTACTTCACTCCGGGCCACCGCATGCAACTATATAAAGCGCAAATTCGGCCCCACATGGAGTACTGCTCTCACCTCTGGGCGGGGGCTCCCAGTACCAGCTCCTTCCACTTGACCGTATACAACGCAGAGCGGTTCGAATCGTTGACGACCAATCCCTCTCCGAGCGGCTTGATCCTTTGGCGTTGCGTAGAGATGTGGGGTCACTCTGCATCTTCTACCGCATTTACCATGGAGAGTGTTCAGAGGAGTTGTTCGGAAGAACCTGCAGCTGAGTTTCATCATCGGACGTCGAGGCAGAATACGAAATTCCACCCGTATCACCTCGACGTCCGACGTTCCACAACTGAGCGTTTCTCAAGGCAGTTTTTGCCGCGCACCACCACTATGTGGAACCAGCTGCCCACTGAAGTATTCCCGAACCAATTCGACTTAGGGTCCTTCAAGAAAAGAGCGTACCAATTTTTAAAAGGCCGGCAACGCACTCGCGAGCCCTCTGGCATTGAGAGTGTCCATGGGCGGCGGTATCACTTAACATCAGGTGAGCCTCCTGCCCGTTTGCCCCCGTTCTATAAAAAAAAAAAAAATCTAAATAATATTTTTTTTGTGAACAGCTCCGATCTAAATAGTAATTGTTTATTCAAGCCTCGGCTTCTCGGCGTCCTGGTCGCCTTCGGCGACCAAATATTCATATACTAACTCTAACCTAACCAATCTAAATAATATTTTTTTTGTGAACAGCTCCGATCTAAATAGTAATTGTTTATTCAAGCCTCGGCTTCTCGGCGTCCTGGTCGCCTTCGGCGACCAAATATTCATATGCTAACTCTAACCTAACCAATCTAAATAATATTTTTTTTGTGAACAGCTCCGATCTAAATAGTAATTGTTTATTCAAGCCTCGGCTTCTCGGCGTCCTGGTCGCCTTCGGCGACCAAATATTCATATACTAACTCTAACCTAACCAATCTAAATAATATTTTTTTGTGAACAGCTCCGATCTAAATAGTAATTGTTTATTCAAGCCTCGGCTTCTCGGCGTCCTGGTCGCCTTCGGCGACCAAATATTCATATACTAACTCTAACCTAACCAATCTAAATAATATTTTTTTTGTGAACAGCTCCGATCTAAATAGTAATTGTTTATTCAAGCCTCGGCTTCTCGGCGACCAAATATTCATATACTAACTCTAACCTAACCAATCTAAATAATATTTTTTTTGTGAACAGCTCCGATCTAAATAGTAATTGTTTATTCAAGCCTCGGCTTCTCGGCGTCCTGGTCGCCTTCGGCGACCAAATATTCATATACTAACTCTAACCTAACCAATCTAAATAATATTTGTTTTTGTGGACAGCTCCGGCGCTACGGGAAATGCAGCCCCTCCACCCTTGCGTACCAAAACACAGGCATTATGAAAGCTGTAGCGGCTGAGGCTGGTCGCCGAAGGCGACCAAAAAGCCGAGGTTGCGGAGGCTCTTCCTCCGCGCCTCCGATTATTTATATACACTCTAGGGGTAAGGCAGATAAGACCACGTGGATAGTGGGGTGCTCTGATTCGGTTTTGGGTACTATTTGAATAATTTAATAATTTTCGGAACCATACATTAATTAAAACATGAAGTTAATGTAATGTATGTACATTTCACAAGTAATGCTTAAATTAGGTTCAACTATAAAATTAACAAATGAGGAAATAATCGATTCGATTAGGTTCAACTTTAAAATTAACAAATGAGGAAATAATCGATTCGATTAGGTTCAACTTTAAAAATAACAAATGAGAAAATAATCGATCCAATTAATTTACCGAAAATGTCACATCACTTATAACCAATAGAAAACGACAATGACACATCACTTATAACCAATAGAAATCGAGAATGTCACATCTCTTGTAACCAATAGAAAAGTTTAGATAATGGCGGATTGTTTATAAATTTCAATACAATTCACAAAAGTTAAAAAATATTTTTAAAAATACTTTGACGCCTATCCGAAAGCTAAAATCACTTGGAGGTGTTCCAATCAAGGGTCCCCGAGACTCCTGCACAATCAGTATCATCAAATTCAGGTGCCTTTGACTCAAACCCAACCCAAGATGGTTTCTCGATCAGGATACGTTCTCTGATGTATGAGCAAGATGAATTTAAGTTCCATGAGAATATGTCCTTTACTATATCGTCCGCAAGACCTTCGAAATTGCATTGGATGCTTAGATTCTTGAGATCAGTGGCATATGTCTCAATTTCTTCATCTGGACCTTGTTTTCTATTGAACAGCTTATGCCTTTCGACAGATATATTCACACGCGGCGTAAAATAGTCTTCAAATTTGGCGAGTAGATCCTTGTAGGTGATCTTATCTATTTCAGTATTAAACGAGTAAAATATTTGGAGAGCGTCTGAGCCAATAGTTTGTAACAAAATGGCTACCTTTCTTTTGTCTGATTCTTTTTCCAAATCGTTGGCAATCGTATAAATACCAAGACTAGTTTTAAAGTTTCTCCAAGCCAAAGGCATATTCGAGGCGTTAATATCAATACTGAAATTACTCGGCGGCAGAGGACAACTTGTACTTTTATCCGACATTTTTAGGCTGAACCACGCGGCGACGTTTTACGTGAAAATTTTTGTAGCGTTTATCTCTGTCGGCTTCTGTGTTCTTTTCTGGTTCACTACTTAAACTTCTGACACCATGTTATAGTGGGTGGCCAGGTAAGCGGTTATTAAAATAAGACTACATTGCAATTATTCACACACATATATATTCAGCCATGACAGAGCGGTCCGAGACATACTGTACAGGTAACGGAAACACATAGACAACATTAAATCACAGATACGTAACACGATTGTCAGTGACTCGTGATTTAAACGCACGACCTTAGTTAGGGTTTGCTAGTTAATAATATTGGAGGAAAGAAATTGTAAGCCAAGCTTACCAACTAGTCAGTCTAACGACTAGTTGGTAAGCTTTGTAACGACTCTAATATCCTAAAGCTAAAGAAAGTTGTATAATGTATAAGCAGTCCTTAAAATCATAATAAAAACACCTTCTCTAATAAATGCTTATGAAAACGTGGCCAAATTGTAAAGATCGAAAGAATATAGAGAAAGAGCACATTTTTATGATATCGTGCTTATTTTTAAATGCTTTAGTGCTTTTATGCTATTGTGATTATTTTAACGCATAGGTTTTTCTCAAAAAAAAAAATTGTAACTTTTTATTTTTGACAAGTAAAATATTTTGAAACATAGGTCAAAACAATTTTTTTGCAAAATAAAAATAAAAACCAAAATGGGTGTGAAATATAAAAAAGCGAAATAATAATATTGTATATGATTATTCAATATGGATTTAGATGAAGTTATAACTGTGACAAAAATAAATACATTGACAGAGTGTCTTTACTTATTAATCGGCTGGCAAACAACTTCTTTCGAAATCTATATATTTGCTAAAGAAAAGGTTTGGAAAGGAAAATTTTCGCCAAATCGTTTAGCAAGTTTTAGCAGAAACCTTCAAATATCAGAAAAAGAGTATTTTAACAATCTTAAGCAATGCTTATCTCTACAAAAAAATAATTACGTGTTTGAATTAAAAAGTGGTTTCTTTTATTGGAAACGAAAAGTAGATAATACGGTTATTATAGAAGGTTTTCTTCCAGTGGAAACAGATACATCACCAAAAAAAATGCAACCAGATTTATTAGAAGTATTGCTTGCCTTAAATAAACAATTAACACGCAAAGCATATTACTGGGAACAAAAATGCAGGAGTATGCATTTAGAGTATGAAAAGTGCCTTAAAGATACAGAAGAATTTTTAAATCTTAAAATAGACATGGAAAAAGCACTTTGCGATAAATTCCTTAATCTGTTAAAATTAAAAAAGGAAAAGAATTTGGAGAGTCGTGGTAATAATAAGAAAAATATGAAATTTGAAGATATGAAGGAACTTTTGGAAGGACTATAAACTGTGAAAATGTTTAAAAAACGGCCAAATCTTTTCAAAACTTAAATAGCCTTCTCTATTGCGAGGAAAACCAAATTAAAAGTTTATGAAAGGATGAGAACTACATTCATTATTATTATAAATAGCGTTTATTTCAATTATAAATAGTATTTTAATATTTTGTGAAACCGGAAACGTCCCGAGGAAAATGTTCCCAGCGGATTTCTCATTCTATGATACCTCTTTAACGACTTTGTAACCGTCGTAATAATTTGTCGTTAACTATTAGGCTATTTACCAATCAAAGTTTATTAGTCTGTTGAAGTCAATTGCAAAATGTATGGTTTATCTTGTTTAAAAATTCATCGTCACTTTATTATAAATCTCACATTGTGTTATTTTTTTTTTAATATCAGTAAATGCTAGCACAATTTGTTCAACTCGGTAGTGGCAAACAAACAAAAACCATTAAAACGCACACACACACACACACACACACTTTACACATTAAAAAATTGTTTTTGTTAATACATAGTTTCTTGTATATTTGTGTTTTTTTTAATGTTCCAGGAGGCAGACGGGCAAGAGGCTCACCTGATGTTAAGTGATACCGCCGCCATTGGACACTCGCACTGCCAGAAATCTCGCAAGCGCGCTGCCGGCCTTTTAAGAATTGGTACGCTCTTTTCTTGAAGGACCCTAAGTCGAATTGGTTCGGAAATACTTCAGTGGGTAGCAGGTTCCACATAGTGGTGGTGCCCGGCAGAAAATGCCTTAAGAATCGCTCAGTTGTGGAATGACGGACGTCAAGGTGATACGCATGGTATTCTGCCTTGACGTCCCATGATGAATCTTTTCTTTCTTTCGTCTTTGATGTTACCCTTATAATAATAAAAAAACATCGTTCACTGCAGAATCTGTGGTTAATACCTCTATTGATCTGTCTAGTGTCTAATCTCATAGTCTGTGCTTAATAACATATCATATCTGTAATTCTTGGCGGGAAGTTGAAAAAGCGCGGTTCAATTTTTTTTTTCAAAATTGTATTTTAATTAATATAAATATTATTTCTTTGTAAATAACAGTATAAATTGGCAAATTAAATATAAATATAGTGAATAAATAATTAAAATGGAAGGAAACGAGGGGGGCGGGTTTGACCCGCCCACCTCAAAAAAGACCACGACGGCGCGGCGGTTAGAAGATCTCCAAGATGTTTCTGATGCTGGCGGCGGAAGTGGTGAGAAAGACTCTTATATGGCATATCGCAAGCCCAATTATAAAAGGTTATATCCTGAAAATGCAATTAACACAGAATTTAAGGTTTTCATTCAGAGCAAAAATATACAAGACAAGCTGGGAAATAAAAGCCCAATATATTTGAATCAGATATTTTCCGATATTAAAGGTGTGGTGGCAATAAGGCGTATTGGCGCAAATAAAATTGTTGTGATCTTCAGACAACATAATACAGCTAACAATTTGATAAATAATAACAGCTTTCTTGATAAACACGAAATGAGAGCATATATTCCAGCAGCTCAAATTGAGAAAACTGGTATTATCAGATTTGTACCCACAAATATTACAAATAGAGAACTATTTGCTAAATTGACTTCTACAAATGAAATAATAGCAGTTAGGAGATTTGTGAAAAAAATTGGTAATGAATTAGTCAGAACACAAACTGTAAGTATCACATTTCTGGCAAATACTTTACCTGAAAGTGTCCAATACGACTTATTTTTTTATAGAATATTTGAATATGTTCCTCCTCTGCAACAATGTTTTAAATGTCTTAAATTCAATCATTTTGCAAAAATATGTAATGGCAAAGAGCGTTGCTCTATTTGTTCAGGTGAACATTCCTATAAAGACTGCACTAAGCCAAATGAGATTTGCTGTGCTAATTGCAACGGACCTCATTTAGCTATTTCTAAATTGTGTCCCATTAAAATGAAGAAAACATTAGAAAAGAAAAATAAAATAACTTATGCAAGCGTTGCCAATACAAAAGATAATGATGAGTTCCCTCCTCTTCCACCACGCTCCAACCCTATAAATAAAAAAGTAATTAATGTAAATAATAAACCTAATGTAAAACATGTAAATAAATCTGTAAATAGTATTAATGATATAAAATTACAAATAATTGAAAACAGTGATGTACTTATGGCCCTGGTACAAACACTGGTTCAAATAGGTAATAAGGTTGATAATGAACCCATCACTGCAACATTTATAAAAGATATACTTATTAAGAATCTGTCAACATAATGGATACACAACCATATATAACACACTCTCTACGTATTGCGCAATTTAATGTTCAAGGTGCAAATAATAAAAAACATCTTCTTACAAAATTCTTAAATGAAAAAAAATATTGATATTTGCTTACTTAATGAGACATGGTTAAAAGAACACCATTCTTTTTATATTTCTGGTTATAATTTCTACAATAAAAATTCAAAAAATCCTCGTAATGGTGTAGGAATATTAATTAAACCATATTTAAAACATAATGTCATAAATACTACTTTTTATGAAGATATACAGACAATAGCCATAAGTATATACACAGAAAATACTACTATATCTATTCTTTGTGTGTACTGTCCTCCGTCCAGTAGGAATATAAGAATGAATAGATTGCACAATATTATAAGAGGATTACCAAAACCTATTTTTGTTAGTGGTGATTTCAATGCACATCATATTGCTTTTGGATGCCTGTCTACGAAAAGTCGAGGCAATAACTTATATAATATAATTGATGAATGTGATTTATGTATTTTGAATAATGGTAGTTTTACTACAGTAAATTATCCTACACGCAACCCCTCAGCAATAGATGTAAGCTTTGTTAGTCCACAGGTGGCTCCACTTTGTGAATGGTATGTACATGATGATGCTATGGGTAGTTATCATTATCCAACCATAACTAACATTACAATGTGCATTGAAAGATACACAATTAATAAACATGTTGACAGATTTTTATATGATAAAACAGATTGGACAAAGTATAGCGAATTGTCTGGTTTGGTCTTCCATGACATGATGGTTAGTGAAGAGAGTCCAATGAAATCTTATGATGAGTTTTGTAGTCGGCTTAATAAACTCAAACTAATGGTAGTTCCTAGATTCACTAGGACTAACTTTAGGAGTAGACCACCAGCCCCTGGTGGAACAGTATATGTGAACAAGCCTTTTAAAAATCATATGAAGCCCTGAAATTGTATAGAAACAATTCAACAGAATATAATTACATCAACTATAAAAGATTAGATGCTTTAAAAAAACGCACTATAAAGGAGCAAAAAAAATCAGTTGGATTGGTTTTTGCAATAGTTTCAATAGAACTACACCCATCAGTCAAATATGGAATCTCATTAAAAAGTTTAAGGGAATCAGAACTGGTAATAAATCATATAGGGATGAATTTGTACAGCCACTTTTAGATAAGTTATCAGATAATAACAATTTAGTTGATTCAGATTCATTAGACAATTATTTTAATATTAACAATGAGAATCCTCAATCAACATTTTTACTGGATTCTTTTTCATGGTCTGAACTTTTAATGAGTATACAATCTAGAAGAAATACTAGTCCTGGTTTAGATGATTTTCCATATTTATTAATAAAACATTTATCTGAATCTGTACAAAAGATATTTTTGAATATTCTTAATAATCTCTGGCATAAGAAACTCATACCAAGTTCATGGAAAACTCAATGTGTAATACCTATATTAAAACCAGATAAGTCACCTGAACAGATTAGTTCCTATCGTCCAATCTCGTTATCATCATGTATTGGGAAAATATTTGAAAACATGGTAAAATCTCGACTTGACTGGTATGCAGAATCCAATAATGTCATACCACATATTCAATATGGCTTCCGTAAAGGAAGAAGCTGTGCCGATAGCTTCATTTCTCTGATATCCGACCTGAAAAATGCAAAAAACAATAAATTACACACAGTTTGTGTATTTTTGGATGTGCAAGGTGCATTTGACAGTGTGGATCCTGGCATACTGGTGAAAGTACTCAGTAATTCTGGTATACCTGGACAATTATCTAAATGGATTTATGATTTCCTTACTAACAGAATACTATATGTTAGGCATAACAATATCTTGTATGGACCTAGAACTGCATCAAAGGGTACTATACAAGGTGCAACTTTATCGCCCTTGTTATATAACTTGTATACTTGTGAGATATGTAAATATGTAAATACTAAAAATGTAAATATACTTCAATTTGCAGATGATTTAGTGTTGTATAGTTCTGATGTAAATTTAACAGTAGCCATTGAAAATGTTAACACTGGATTAAAGCAGTTAAGTAATTATTATCAACACAGATTAAATTTGAAAATAAATGCTGCCAAAAGTAATGCCATGATATTTGGAAAAGACACACCAATAGTAGATGTTGTATATAATGGTGATGTCATTCAAAGAGTCACCTCACACAAATTTTTGGGTATTATCATTGACCAGAAGCTGTCATTTGAAGAACATATTAAATATGTATCTAGAAATGCATTAAGAGGTGTTAACATTTTAAGATGTCTAGCAGGTGTTTCATGGGGTGCAGATCCCAAAATACTATCTATATTATATAAATCTATTGTAAGAAGTCATTTTGATTACAGTTCTTTGGCTTATTTAAATAGCACTCATACACATAAATTGGATATATTGCAGAACAGGGCTTTGAGGATCATATCAGGAGCAATGTGTTCGACTCCCATAAGGGCCATGGAAGTCGAAACTAATATTATGCCATTGATATTGAGACGACTTATGCTTACAGAAAGATACTGTCTGAAACTATTATCATCAAATAATTTACAAATTATAAACAGGATAATACCTCACCCTATCAATATAGATGGTCCTCTCACTTCACCAAATGATCTTCTGACAGGTACATCTCCAACTTTGTGCCAGATCTTTACAGAAATACAATCTCATTATTCAAACATCAAAAAACATTCTCACTGGTCGTGTTACACTCATTCATACAGTTGTATCACACATCCTATTACGATTTTATCAAATTCAATTGAAAATAATTCGGACTTACTGGCTTTCAAAGAAGAAAATAACAAGTACTATACTATATATACTGACGGCAGTAAAGGCAATGATTTTGTGAGAAGTGCGGTATATGATTCCCAAAAAGATGTTGCTCAAAGCTTTGTTCTAGATAAAAACTGCTTCATATTTACAGCAGAGGCATATGCAGTTTTTGCAGCTTTAAAATCGATTACTTCTATAAACAATTGTAAATATTTTCTAATTTTGACAGACTCTTTGAGTCTTTTAAATAGTCTTAAGCATGCTACTCTTAATAATTTTAAAACCAATTATATTCTCTATTTAATTAAAGATACTGTCTTGCGGTTGTATAAGAAAGATGTAACTATTGCCTTTATGTGGGTACCCTCACATAAAGGTATTACTGGTAATGAAATAGCGGACAAAGCTGCATATGAAGGGATTAACACTCTTAATGTCAGAAATGTGGTACATGTTCCTATGACCGATTATTATTATAATATAAATAATTCAATAAAAGATATATGGGCAAATTTATGGAAAGAAGATCAAAAACTTAAAGGAAAATGGTATGGAAGTATACAAGAAAATTTACTGAGAAGACCCTGGTATGAAGATTATGAGTTGGATACAGTTAGTCGTGAGTTCGTTACCACAATCAACAGATTGCGTTTTGGTCACAACACTGCACCCGCACACCTCGCTAAACTTAATATTATAGATAACAATGTTTGCTCTTTCTGCACTAACGAGATCGCAGATATGAATCATATTTTTTTAAATGCCAAAACCAAATTTTCATTTTTAATAGACTACTATTAGCAAGTGAAATAATGGAAGTTAGTGATCCCTCCCGCCGCCAGTTGTGTGATTTGCTCAAAAACAAAAAGTGTTATAGAGCATTATATAAATACGTTAAAAATACCGTAGGGAAGATTTAAGAAAACAAGTGGAATGTTGGAATAAGAATAACATGTGAAATTAAATGAAGTGAAAATAAGTGAAATTTAGTGACCGAAAATAAGATTTGGCTTAAAGGTCTCGTTACCAGGCCATAAAATAAAAAAAAATAAAAAAAATATCATATCTGTAATAAAACTTAAAAGTAAATTATTGTTCTATGTTCATATGTATTATGTTGAGACTTGAGTTCCAAAAAACTTATTCTATTGGATTAAATATTTAATCATAACTTATTACATATTTTCATTACATAGTTTCAATTCTGATTTTCATACACAGTGTGACAGAGATAACCTATTAATTCTATTTGGTACATCATACCTAAACTTAATTATTTATTCTTTATACGATTATCTAAAAATATAAAGACCATGGAAAATAGTGATAACGAACAGCTCTCTGATATTGACGATGATGAAAGGGTAAGTAATATTTAATGCAATGGTACTTGAGATACCTTGTTATCAAATATTACTTTTTGATTTTTACCTATTGTAGACTGCTATTAAGGAAGAGTTATCAACCATGTCCTTTGAAGATCTCCAGAAGTTAAAAGAGAAGGTTGGTGCTAAAGTTTATAAAGAGGTTGTATTTGGCACAAGTAATGTTGAACTAAAGCCTAAGGTGTTTAAAAGGGAGAATAAAAATAGACCTAGGGAAGTGAGTTCCAAAAGACCAGTAAAAATGCATCTTGATATTGGCTCTGTGAAAAAGATAGAGGCCCGTGATCCAAGGTAATTTTTTATTAATTATCAGGAACTATTAAATGAATATATTTATTTAGGCTTGCTTTGATACTTCTAGGCAAACTTTAGAGATAAGTAAGCAAAAACTACCACTACCATATTATATCAAAATATGGTCCTAGATAGATCATAGGTTTTGAAGAAAGGAAAGTTTGTGGTTATCCTAAATTCCGAATCTTGTCTGTTTTTAGAATTAGGTTAATTTATAAAATATATATGATTCTTTGGGCTATAAATTAATTTCTTCCTAATTTAGTGCTATTCATCAATTTTTATTCCCTGAATGTTATCTGTACATAACTTTAAACTTTTATAGTCTTGAAATTAATAATTGAGTACTACAGAAAATATTAGTATTAGAAGTCAGAGCTGTAAATATAATAATATTTTTAAAACAAACATATTAAATACAGCATTTGCACAGTAATTTATAAAAGTCAAGTGTATTGTTAAAATTTATATGTGAAGTCATGAAGACAATTGCAGTTACCGGGACTACCATCAACTGCTTTAAAAATCATTGACCTTCAAGACAAATTGTAATTTATCCTTAATTTAAAATACACATTGATTTTTGTTATTATTTAAATCATATTGTTTTTCTTTATTGTTTTATATGTAAAATAATAAGTACGACAACGTCTTATCTATAATTATTTTGATTAATAAATGGATGTATGAACATTTATTTATTTAGACTAAATCAATTGATTGCCTTACTTTAACAACTAGGCCTTCGTAGTAATGTTATTTCTTACCACAGGTTTGACCCATTATGTGGAACTTTTGATAAGAAACAATTTTCTCAAGACTATGGTTTCCTATCTGATATGCAAGTTAGTGATATGAAAGCTATAAAGGCAGAATTAAAACTAACCACAGATCCTGAAAAACAAATTCAGTTGAAGCGTCTGTTACAAAGGCTAAAGGATAAGATAAGAACTAACAAGAATGATAGGAAAGAGAAAGAAAGAAGAAGTAAAGAGGCACAGCAAGTAGAAGAACAGTTTAAGCAAGGGCAACAACCACACTTTAAAAAGAAATGTAAGTTGATAATATATTCCAACTCTATAAATAACAATATCCTTTGTATTATAAATAAAATAAAGAGTTTAAATCATTATCTGAAGTATTACAGTAGGTTTTATTATTTTATTTATTGTTTTGGTAAGAACTTGTCACTAAACACAAATTACACAAAATATAAATTAATTTTTTTTAGATGATTATCACTTATTAATTGAAGTAGGGTTTATGAGAAATGGCAAGTTAAATTCTAATAAATAATGCAATAAGTATGTATATAAAAGCATTCATAGTTAAACATATTAACGTACTTTAATGAATTAGAATTAGATTATTATTAAGATTGAAAAATTCTTGAATGTAAATTAGAATTTTTAAATAAATGCATACAGGCGAAGCCAATTAAAGCAACTAATGGACTAATAAATATAAGAGTGTTTATCAATTGTTTTTAACATTCTGTTAGTTACTTGAGTAATAAATTTAAAAAATTACACATGCACTTTTTATTTTATAGCGGAAATGCGGGTTGAATCACTAGTAAAGCAATATGAAGAATTAAAGAAGGAAGGTTCTAGCCGAATACAGAGGCATCTTAAGCGAAGACAACAGAAGATCAAGAAGAAATCTTTCAAAACTCCAATTGGCGTTGATTAATGCATTTTATTTGAATACAAGTTTATAATGTTTTAACTCTATTCTTTGAATACCCATTACTAATTAAATCACATACTTGATAAAGGGTTATGGTTAATTAAAAATAACTTATTTTATTAATAATAATAGTGTAATTTTAAGTGTCTAAGGTAAATATAAAAAAACACAATCTCATTTTAATAATTTAATTACAACTTATAATTTAAACTTTTACCAAATTGGGCAACCAATGTACCAAGGTTGGTCAGTGAAGTAGATGTGCATGGTAACAATTCCGACGTTCCTAGTCAAGTCATAGAGGCACTGAGGTCCCCTGGGTACGATTGCCTAAAAATAATAATAATAAAATATAGTTAGTAAACACATATTTTGTAATTATTTGCATAAGATCTCCAGCCATGCATAAATTGGTCAACTTAGGCGCCAAGATTAATTCTTATCATTGTTAGTACCAAAATATACGAGAGGGCGGAGAAAGCTCAAAAAACGCAAGGTTTTGCTGATTTGCATACAAAATCCCAATATTTGACGAATCTATTCTCAAGAACTTAGGAGAAACTACTTCATTACTCTAACCAAAAAAAATTAATTTTTTTTATTAGACGCCATTAGCTAAAATTCTAAGTAACAAGCAATATTGGTTTAAGTCTCTTACAAACATTTTTTATTCTCATACACGTCTTAATCCACCGGTAGGTAGGTAGGTATTATTAAATTTCATAATATTGCTAGAAAGCAACGATTAATGAACCGCTGCTAGACGCATTTTTTTCTATACTTTGTGTGGAACGCTATTAACAGTATTTCTATTCTAAATTGATATTATGCCGTGAGCCGTCACTGTGGCACCGAAATTTGTATAGCAAAGTAGTATTATCAACAATGTTTAAAATAACCCACCTTGACAGCGCCTTCTCCAGGTCGCTCGAACCAGTCACGTCTGCCGCTAACGAGATCCAATTTGCCAGCAACTAGGTACCCAACACCTTCCAATTTGCCAGAGTCAACAAGAGGGAACCATGGGAAGATTCCTTCCGCGGTACAGGGAGTGGTTTCGGTCATGTTGTAGTAGTAGTGTTCACCTGATGAAGATATATTATAACTTCTAAATAGGTAATTAAAGTAATATTACTGTTTAAATAATTATAGTTCTATGTTCAACCAATAGATGTCGCCTGTGGTTCCTTGAATCGCGGTATGTTTAAATTATTATAGTTTTATGTTCAACCAATAGATGTCGCCTGTGGTTCCTTGAATCGCGGTATCGTTTTGATTCAAAAATAGTATAAGTATCTCAATTGTTTTTTGTATTAAATATTCTCAGCCTTAGGAATGGTGTTTTATTTGAACATGGTCCTTCGAGCCGGATAATGAAGAATTAAGCGACAGTGGTGCCATCTGGTGGAGAAACGGAGTAGAGCAGTTCCAGCTAAAAGTCAGTGAGCAAAATTGGTATAGTCTAAAACTGTAAGTAGAAAATCTATATTAAGCAGAAGAGGTGACTAGCAAAAATAACACTTAACCACTAGGAAGAAATGTCTTAGAAAATTAACAGTGTGAATGGACTTGTAAAATTTTAACCGAAATAGTGGTTATACGGGGAATCCATGACCAATTTTTCCTAAGTTAATAATAACTAAACACTTATAAAAATTTCGAGTAAACTGGACTTAGAAAAATTTCACCTATACCGGACTTAGAAAAATTTGCTCACTGATTAAAAAATAAAAAAAAATTCCGATATTTATAATGGATTCGTTGATAAGACTACTAGAAGATATACAAAAGAAAATTCAGCGAGCCTTTACCAACTTTAAAAAATCTCCGAAGGACAGAATAACTGTGTCTTATATTGAAACACGAACTGAGACTTTGGAGAAGTATTGGGAATCATTCGACACAACGCATCAGAAACTAATATGCGAATCAGAAAAGGATGATTTAGAAATGTCGGGATATTTTATTAAGGATATTTATGGTTTAGTTGAGGAATTGTATACTGATTATAAGTCTGAATTAAAGGAGTGTTTAAAAATATGTGTTCAAGCACAGAAGAAAACTTCTTCAGCTTCAGAAGCGAGTCATGATGCAGAGCAGAGTGGGGTCAAATTACCTAGAATTGCTATCCCAATGTTTTCGGGAAAATATGCAGAGTGGGCAACATTTCGGGATCTTTATGTATCTCTCATTCATAATAATCAAGCTCTACAGGATGTCCAGAAACTCCATTATTTAAAAAGTTATTTATCGGGAGAAGCTGAGCAGCTTTTGCGTCATCTACCAATATCTAGTGATAACTATGCTGTGTGTTGGGAACTGTTAGAGCATCGGTTTAATAATAAGAGATATGCAACTAATTGTATTTTAAAGAAGTTTTTTAGTCAGAAAAATATTGTACATGAAATGTCAAGTGCTTTAAAAAATCTTTTTGATACAACAAACGAGTGTCTTCATGCTTTAAAAAATGTGGGAGTAAATACCGAGAATTGGGATTCTATAGTCATTTATATCTTAGTATTAAAGTTAGATACCGAGTCTCGTAAAAGTGGGAGGCTAGGATTTGTGATTTGACCAGTGAATTGCCAACATTAAGCCAATTTTTAGAGTTTTTGGAGCATAGGTTTAGGGCGTTGGAATTCTTAGATTCTAAAAATATAAAAATTACTCAAGCACATGTTATAAGTAATAATAGAGATAAAAATGTTGTTTCATGTTCTTTTTGTTTCGAAAATAGTCATAAATTGGGAAATTGTAAGAAATTTGCAAAAGAAGATATATCTGCCCGTCGTAAATTTGTCCAAACCTCAAATTTATGTTATAATTGTCTAGGTTCAAATCATACGGTTTTATCTTGTCGTTTGCCCACTAGGTGTCGCATCTGTCAAAGGAAACACCATTCATTATTACATTCAAGCAATCCTGATGTAACATTACAATCAGGAGATACTAGTGTTGTGGCAGCAACAGCTACAACAACAGGCGAGATCGTAGAAACTAAAATTACCACTTGTTTCTCTAGCAATAAGAATCAAGTTTTATTGGCAACAGCTTTAGTGAAAGCTGAAACAAATCTCGGATCTCAAATGACACTAAGATCTTTATTGGATCAAGGATCACAGGCATCCTTTATCACGGAGTCTGCAGTCCAACTTCTTGGACTGAAGAAAATACATACCAATAGTGTCATTACGGGGGTAGGAGGTGATGAGAACACATCACTGAATTCCAAATATGCAGTTTTTATTAAACTACAATCAATTCAAGATCCGACTTTTACCATCAATGTCAAGACTTATGTACTCAAGAAACTAACGTCATTCCTTCCTGAAAGAAAGTTTATGAACAAGTTGTGGTCAACTCTACCAAGAATGACGCTAGCAGACCCAAATTTTAACGTACCTAACCAAATAGACCTCTTACTGGGAGCGGAGGTATATTGTCATATTTTAACTGAAGGCTTAATGAAGTGTCCGCAAGGATCTCTCATTGCCCAAAACACGAGGTTTGGCTGGATAGTTTCTGGTGAAATTAACAATACCAATGACGAATCTTCGAGATGTCATAATATAACCTCCCATCATGCTGGTGTAAAATACGAAGAGTTTGATTTGAAACAATTCTGGGAAATCGAATCTGACAAATTTTGTCTTAACAAGCAATTTACACCTGAAGAACAACGTTGCGAAGATTTGTTTAAACAAACAACATCAAGAGACTTGTCTGGTCGTTATGTCGTTAAACTTCCATTTAAAAGTGTCGATCCAGTATGCAAGTACGGAAATTCACGACAAATAGCGATCAGAAGATTTTTATCACTCGAAAAACGCTTATTAAAAACTCCAGATATAAAAAGTTCAGTACGGTAATGTTATCAAAGAGTATTTAGACCTCGGATTTATGGAGGTGGTACCAACAGAAGAGGTAAATAAATCAGAAAGTGTTTACTTACCTCACCATGCAGTTATCAGAGCGGACAAACCGTCAACCAAATTACGAATTGTTTTCGATGCTTCGTGTCCTGACCACAATGGCGTATCTTTAAACAGTGAATTGATGGTGGGGCCCACTTTACAGTCTGAGCTACGCCACACAGTTATGAGATGGAGACTCCATCCTATATGTCTCGCTGCTGATATCATTAAGATGTATCATCAAATAAAAAGTAGATAAGAGTGATATCGACTATCAACGGTTAGTGTGGCGGAACAACCCTCAAGAAGACATTCAACATTTACGTTTGTTGAGGGTAACATTTGGTACGGCGTCAGCACCTTTTCTAGTGGTAAGAGCTCTGCGCCAGTCAGCGTATGATGAAGGGGAAAATCAGTAGCTTACCACTGTATCTTGAACGATTTTTTCATGGATGATTTATTAACGGGCTGCCAAACGATTTCCGAAGGGAAAGAATTGTTTTTCGAAATCAATAAAGTTTTAAATAAAGCTGGATTTAAACTTCAACGATGGTCAAGCAATAGTGTAGAAGTATTAAATAAAATAAACCAGAATAATGAAGCTATAAAAGAAAATATGGAATTAAAAATGGATGAAGTGATAAAAATTCTCGGACTTAACTGGAATCGACGTACTGATAGTTTCGACTATTCTGTGCAGCTTCTGCCGGTCAGTTACCCAGTAACAAAAAGAAAGGTGATTAGTGACATTGCCAAGTTGTTTGATCCAATGGGATGGATAGCTCCAACCATAGTCAAAGCAAAAATATTTATCCAACGACTATGGCTTGCAGGAATCGGTTGGGATGAAGAGCTACCGCAAAAACTATTAAATGAATGGATGACTTACCGTGAAGAACTTATAACACTTACCAAGTTTCATTTACCAAGATGGATTGGAATAACTCAAAAACACCGCCACATGGAGCTGCATGGTTTCAGTGATGCTTCCAATGATGCTTACGCTGCTGTAGTTTACTCACGAGTGATTGACGGATCAGGAAAGGTACATGTGCATTTGATAACTTGTAAAACGAAGGTAGCTCCTATTAAACAAATTTCTATTCCACGACTGGAGCTCTGTGGTGCCGTTTTGTTAGTAAAACTATTAAGAGAGGTTGCTGAAGTACTACACGTGCAAAACGAAAATTTGCGCGCTTGGACCGACTCGACCATTGTTTTAGCTTGGCTAAGTAGTCACCCAAGCCGTTGGAAGACCTTTGTTGCAAACAGAGTCTCAGAGATTTTGAGTATTTTAAATAGAGATCAATGGGCACATGTAATATCCACTGAAAATCCAGCAGACTGCGCTTCGTGAGGCATCCGTCCATCAGAATGTGAAGCGGCTAATTTATGGAAAAATGGTCCAATGTGGCTGAGCGAACTAACTATAAACTATCCCCGGAGGAACGTTGATGAAACAAATTTAGAAGAAAAGGGTGTGAAGGCATGCCATGTGGTGGATAGTAGTCAAAACATTTTTTGGACAAATTTTTCGACTTTAAGGAAATCATTGAGAGTATTTGCTTACTGTAGAAGGTTTATAAACAAATTAAAGCGACCTGAAGAGAGTTTTCCTATATGGTTAACGAATAAAGAACTAAATCAAGCATTACATATTATTATAAGAGCATGTCAGAATGAGTACTTTTTTCTGGAAATCAATGATTTAAGAAATAATAAACCAATTTATAAGAAAAGTAAACTTACCGTATTGACTCCTTTTTTGGATCGTGAAAGTATCATGCGAGTTGGTGGTCGTCTTGAAAGAGCTGACTTCAACATAGACAGAAAACATCCAGTGATTTTGCCATCAAAATCACATCTTACCGACTTGATCATAGCGGACGCTCATGAAAAAACTTTGCATGGCGGGCCGCAATTAATGATAAACTATATTCGGTCCAAATACTGGATTTTAGATATTAAAACTCGTACAAAGTTATTCGTTCGAAATTGTGTTCGATGTGTACGATACGCTGCACAAGCAAGAGACCAACTTATGGGACAGTTACCTCCTTCACGTGTAACTCCAATTCGTCCTTTTCATCGAAGCGGCCTGGATTATGCGGGTCCTATTTTAATAAGAACATCCAAAGGTAGAGGCCATCGAGCATACAAAGGATATGTATGTTTGTTTGTGTGTATGGCAACTAGAGCAGTACATTTGGAGGTTGCAAGCGACCTTACAGCGCAAGGTTTTTTGGCCGCATTCAAGCGTTTCGTGGCCAGACGTGGGCATTGCGCTGACCTATACAGTGATAATGGTACAAATTTTGTAGGTGCCGCACGCGAACTCAAAACATTGTGGTCCCAAGAAAAGTCATCATTGGCAATAGAAATTGCTGAGAGTTTGGCAACAAATGGAACAACATGGCATTTTATTCCACCTCATGCTCCACATTTCGGTGGATTATGGGAGGCTGGAATAAAATCCACCAAACACCACCTAAAACGAGTGATAGGTACTCAGACGTTGACTTTTGAAGAGATGAGCACTCTTCTGTACCAAATAGAAGCCTGTCTCAATTCCAGACCATTGTCACAATTAAGTGTGAACTCACAAGATCCTACACCTCTTACCCCAGGACATTTTCTTGTTGGAGAGCCATTGGTCTTGGTGCCGGACAGCAATTATGAAACCTCATCGGTTTCTTCACTAAAGCGCTGGCAGCTAACGCAACAGTTGCTGCAGCATTTTTGGCGTAGGTGGTCAAATGAATATCTCACGCAGTTCATGCAACGTTACAAATGGGCACATCAAAAACCAGAACCGAATGTTGGTGATATTGTTCTAGTTCGAGAGGATAATCTTCCTCCAGCAAAATGGTTATTAGGGATTATAACGGATAAACATACAGGTTCGGACAATATTACGAGGGTTGTTAGCCTTAAATGTAAGGATGTTATCTTTAAGCGTCCTATAACCAAATTATGTGTATTGCCTGTGACGAAGTAAGATATTTGGGTAAATCTGATGTTGTTTATTTTTATTTTTTTTGTTGTTGTATAATATAATAGGTATGTTGTCACTTCTAGCTACTGTGAAAGGTTTGTACGAACTTTTTAAACTCTATTACAGTCCACTACGATTACTTGTTTACAGTTTATTCACGGTGGGCGGAAGTGATGTACATGCTGTCCATGGTGGGCGGTATGTTTAAATAATTATAGTTCTATGTTCAACCAATAGATGTCGCCTGTGGTTCCTTGAATCGCGGTATCGTTTTGATTCAAAAATAGTATAAGTATCTCAATTGTTTTTTGTATTAAATATTCTCAGCCTTAGGAATGGTGTTTTATTTGAACAATTACAGTTTATATCGTAGTATCTACGTCGGTCAGTTCAGGAAACCCGAATATAGATAGGACCATTCTAGCAGAATATTGACAGAACTATATTGATATAAGTACAAAACTCAGTATTCACTACAAAAAGTTACAGAGTACGGGTGCTAGGTAGTATTGATTTGTAATGTTGAATACTGATTCAATTACACAAACGCTTCTATATGAAACTAGTAAAATGTAACCAATTTGTTTACTTTAATCAATTGAGTGATTGATTTGTTGCCAATCCTACGGCCATGCTTCGGGCGTTTCAGTGTTTGGCGTTTTAATAATACGTAGTAACTGAATTTAAACTTTATACAACGCGAATTCTTTGATTTAAAATTTGTTTTATTTTACTGTTGTTTATAATAATTGTTTTATATTTGCGTGCTATGGCCAAGGTTTGTATCTTGTTAGAAACGTCATAAAAATGCTAATTTAGACTTTCTTACGATGTATTTGTTTATAAATACATAGATTTGTATGATGTACTCACCCATCCATGGGATGCAGGCTTGTTTGGTGAAAATTGTCTTTTTGATCTCTTCCTCGTCGCCGGAGATTTTGTAAATCTCCTTGTTAATGCCAGTCACCCAGAGATCGTTCTCTCTCAGAATGCTTTCTTCGTTCGTGGGAGTTACCGGTACGCCCTTTGCGGCTGTTTCTACATTAAATAATATAAATAACAACGTGAGAAGGATGGATGAATGGTTTTAAAATATTTGGATGTTATATAAGTGTGCTAATTTTCGTAAGTATAGCTAGTCAATACCGAGATGGTTTATTTTATACAGGTATGTCTTATCTAAGTTTCATGAAAATCGGCTTAGTAGTTTTTGAAATATGGATTTTTGGATTAAATCTAGGACATTACATTAGGTTATAGGTGAAAAAAGTTGACATTTATTAGAAATCGGTTAATTTTGATAAATTACTTTAAAAAATATATATGCAGAAAAAAACTGGGATGAGCAAAAATTATGTAAATTATTTTTAAATATCTCTAAAAACCAGCTATAGGAAGACGTTCACGGTTCGTTTGGTTGTCATTGGTAGACAGGATCTTGAAAACTAGATCGTAAAAAGCAAAGATGTAAAGTTTTACAGTAAAATTAGCTTAACTTGCGTCTAAGATAATAAGTATGGTATCAAGTATGTATGGTATATTAGGAAACATATTTACCCGGGGAAATGAAGAAAATCTGGGTGACCCAGTAAGTTCTGCGCCTTTGTCCGAAGCTGACAGGGGGAGTCCATAACGAGTGACCTTGTGTGGCCCAATCGTAAGGGTTGTTTGAGAACTCGCTTTGGTCGTGCTGTAAAACAAAAACACTTATAATGAAAGCAATAAAGTCAGGATTTAAGAGGCTTGAGTTATCACAATTTTAATATTTTTTATCAAACTATCGTTACGACCTTTAACTATCGAAAGGTATGGAAATATTAAGTTAATTATTACCAGTTTTTACTTTTAGTCAATATTTCAGGAACACGTTGTTCTAACTTATTCAAAAACACGAATGTAAATTTTAGAAAAAAAAATTATTTTTTCTAAGACAACTTTAAAGCTGCATCGTTTACATTTATATTTTACTAGCCGTTTCGCGCCCGCTTTGCTGGACGAATTAAAATAAATTTTATGTTTCATTATTTTATTTTTTTTCATATTTTTATTATTCTTCTTTTTAACTTCCCGCTAAGAAAATTGAAATATTTCGAAAATCGAGTTTTTAACAGATGTTGACGTTTAGAGGTTCTAGGAAGCCTCCCCGAATGTTTCCGCGGTGAAGTCCGTATGGATAAATTTTCATAAAAGTAAAACAGCAATAAAAAAATGAAGGAACGTTGGAATTTAATAAATAAATAGCCATAAACCATCTAGGAAAAATTTCGCATCGAATGTCGATACGATCAGTGGTTTAGGCGTGAAGGAGCCTCAAACGAAGACCATTTTTCTTTTATATATATAGATGTAATAATATAGTGTTTCTATGAGTATACAGCATATTTAAAGCAGGTCGGGTATTTAGATAGAAAAATCCAATATACTAACAGCAATTTGGAGACCAGCGATTCTGTCTGTGGTGTCGAAGAAAGCGCACAGAATACGGTCTGAAGCACAGTACAAGGTGAGGTTGGAGTTAGGGATGTTAGCTGTTCCTTGGGTTACACTCCAGCCATTCAAGATAGCATTAAGTGTAGTGCGGGGGACGTCGAAGAAGAAGTCAGTGCCGGGGCGGAGACCGACGTTGAATTTTACTGCAAGGCGATAATAAATATTAATTACATTTGATGTTTTTTAAATAAAATATTTAGTCGACAATACGAATCAAGTTATAATAAATTTAAGTATGTATTTATAACAGTACTGCCAGTTTTAAAGGTACACTGCCACAGGGACCAAACTTTTTAAATTTGTTTTAATTTTCTTTTTATTAATTTTTAACTATTTTTATTATAACTACATATGTAGGTTAAGAAAATTGTAAATACTGCATATTTGATTGCTATGTTTAGGTTTTACTAAACAATTATTATACAATTATAATAAATATACGCACCTCTAAGTCCACGTAGCCGTGCGGCCTCTGAAAGAACAAAAGTGTGTTATTTATAGAGAATGTTATGCACGTTGTTCTAAAAAGTGCATAAACAACTGAAATAAAATTGCGTTGAAAGGAATTTTTTTTTATTAATATCTCGGGCTTTTCCCGATTCTTTCTTCTTCATCTAAATCGGACCAGTAGACAATTTTGCGGCATAAATTTGTATATTGTATCGAACTCACTAATACTTTGCACCAAACATGACCCACTAACGCCAAAAGAATTAGTAAGGAAATGGTCACTTGACAAAGCGAGCGCTAATATCATTCCTATACAAATTCGTTTGTGGGTCACGCTTATCGGAAAGTTTATTTGTAAGGCCTCTGAATTTCCTAAAATCTGTATATTGGACCGAGCAAATCATATTTACAGGTATTAGGGATGCGATTCAGAAACGAGACTTAGAACAACTCTGACTCCTACACGTCAAATATATATTATTATTAATTGCCTATTAAAATAAAAGCCCAACGCAGAAAATACCTATTAGATAAATACTGAAGAAATTATGGGACGGACCGGTACTTTTTATAAACGTCTCCCAGGACGCGTATTAGTTTGATATGATATTACCCTAACAATATGTAATGGCATCAATGTGAAAGTATCTAAGAAAAAAAATTTATTAATGATCTATATCGAAGTTATGAAATTTAGGCATAATGTGTGAACTTCCTATTGTGAGTACTTAAAAATAGATAATACAGTAAACATGGTGAGGAAACACGCCCAGAAAGCTTGTCTATGAAAGAAAACTAACAAACTAACTTAAAAAAAAACATTTCACTTTTGAGCTCAGATTTAAATTTAAACCGGAAACAAACAGATAATTTAAAAATTCCTTACCTGTGCCAGAGCACGCAAGAGCGATTACCGCCAATACTAACAATAGCCGATTCATAGTCCCTGTTGCTAAACACCCAACATCACCTCGAAATATATAGTGAAGTCAAAGATATTGTTATCGATAAGATTGTATGCATATTCACTACTTAATTGATATTTTATCGAATACAATTGATTCGCCTTGACTTCGCTTGATACAAAGATATATTTAGATATTCATTCTAACCAAACAAGGAAACACCGTGTAAGAAGAGTCCGTCATTAGTTTGTCTTACGTTTCCAGGTATCGCGAAAACTTGTAAGGTATTTTAAAAGAAAATGCCTACTGGATTAAAATGTCATCAAAAGATTTGCGCATTAATTAAAAAAATGAAATTAGTATATTAATTGTATAGTGCTTATAAATAATCTTTAACAATAAATTCACGATTCTCTCTTTCTTTGTTTTATTTATAAAACAGCCGAATTCATTTTTAAATTATTGGAAACAAACATTCAAAAACGTTTCTTTTTATAATTATAGATATTTACAGATTAAGATTAGTACCTACTTATAATTCAGAAGCTATTAATTAATTATTCATGCGTATTTATCTTCGTGATATTCCAATCAAGTCTCTTCAGGACTTAATTCTAAAAAAATATCAACTATCTAATATCGTAAGTAGCTATTATTTAAAGTTTTAAAATCAGATAATTCTTAATCTTTTAAATATATAGTGGCATGTCTTAATACTTGAAATTGGGATAATAGAAATAATTTAATGCGTTTGTGTGATTCGTTATGGCCTTTGCCCGTAGAGGCTAAACGTTTTTTCTTTTTAAATTTTTATCCTTATTGAATCATAATTCATTTATGGAGCCACAGTGGTATAACAGTTGCAACCATGTTGGTGGTAGAACAGTATATTTGGAATAATTGATTTTATTTTTACGTAGTTACGTAAGTTGCCTACATTAATAAATGTCAATTGATTTTGTCTTTAAAAATAGCGCAGATAGCTAAAGAAAAAAACATCTAAAAATAGTACGTGTAGCACGTCCTTTTGGGCAAAAGGGGATTAAGGTTGTTGGGAAATTAGAACACATAATTTTATAATGCAGATTTATTAGTTTTTAATTATTCACGAAAAATAACTTTTCACTTCGTCGTACATCTTGTTCGCGTATCTTGCACCATTCAGCTTTACGCGATCCAGGACAGCTGCAGACTTTGCAGAATC